ACGAGCGAATTTGTGTCTTTTCGTTCACATAAAGTCAGAAAAAATATGAATCAAAAAGAACATGTATTTATACTAAAGTAATACAAAAATTACTACAAAAAATTTTGAAGTGAGTAGTTTTTCGAGATTTACGATTATACTGTAAATTACTTTCACGAATCAGCCTCCAAATGTAGTCTCCCATCATGTTCTCGTTATACTGTCCTTGGTAGTGGCGTTCAAAGTCCAGTATATCCTGGTCGAAGCGCTCGCCTTGCTCCTCCGAGTAAGCTCCCATGTTCTCCTTGAATTTATCAAGATGAGCATGAAGGATATGGACTTTGAGGGACAGCCCATAGTGCCGTAGTTCTTCACCAGTCTCAACCAGCTCCACATAGTTTTCGACCTTGTGATTGCCCAGGAAGCCACGAACCACTGCGACAAAGCTGTTCCAAGCCGCTTTCTCCTTACTAGTGAGCTTCTTGGGGAATTCATTGCACTCCAGGATCTTCTTTATCTCTGGTCCGACGAAGACACTGGCTTTGACCTTTGCCTCAGACAGCTTAGGGAAGCAATCTTGAAGGCGACTCCTTATCTACAGCTCTGACAAATTGTTTCATAGGGCCCAATTTGATGTACAGTGGTGGCATCAGCACCTTCCGGGGGTCCACCAGTGGCTCCCACTTGACGTTGTTCCTCCCCACAGAGAACTCGGTCCGCTGTGGCCAATTCCGCCTGTGGTAGTGCACCTTGATGTCCCTGCTGTCACCAAAGGCAAAGATAGCAGGGAAACTTGGTAAAACCGCCTTGGAGACCCATCAGGATTGCCACCATTTTGAAGTCTCCGATGACCTCCCAGCCGTACTCATCATACTTCAAGGCGTCCAGCAAGGTCTTGATGCTGTTGTAATCCTCTTTGTAAGGTCTATATGGAGCAGCACGGCTTTGAGGCTCCTGGATGAGCTCTCAATGAAGAGGTGCCACTCATTCTGGTTACAGGTGATTCCAATTGCCTCGAACAGACTGGTCACATTGGGCAGAAGCAGAGCCCATCTTGACGGCTGAAGAAGCTGCAAAAAGGTTGATGACGCTTTCAATGATCTGCGACTTGCACACTTTTATCCAACAAGTTCAACTGCTTGAGCCTAGACGTCAAAAGCTCGGCATTGGACTTGGTGAGACCAAGATCTCTGATCAAGTCGTTGAGGTCTGTTGCTTGGGGTAGTATGGGTTTCTCTCCTCAGCTCCACCTCTGAAATTGTCATCTGGATCTACAACGTCTTCCTCGCTCTCTGACTTGCTGCTCTCTTCTAAAGACCGCTGCTCTCTCTCCGGAGGAGTGGGTACGGGGAGCTCATGGCAGTGTGGCACTGGGGCGATGGATAAAGGAAGGTCCGGACACGTGATAGCAGGTGCATTGTTGCCAGTCCGACGTTTGGAAGGGTCCACCATGCAGATGCAGCAGTTGCTTGAGTGGTCAGTGGGTTCCCACCAAATTGTTGGGATAGCGAACTTCATGGCTCTCTTTCTCCCTCTGTAGCATCCTACAAAAATACATTTATTTCACTCATGACTAATGTCTAAGAGATTCTCGCAACATTTTTCATATATGATATATATTTTTTCAATAACATTGAAAATTGTAAAACATTTTAAATTAAAAACTTTAACAATTTAAATTTTTTTACAAATTTTATAACATTAAATTCCGAGCAACAATTGTTCATCTTACCTTCCAGGGTTTTTTAGCATTGCTCGCAGGTGAAATGAGCTGCCCGGGGTTTGTCTTGATCCCCGACAGGCATGCCGAAATATGCCTTGTTGTAGGCCTCACACATCTTAGCAGAGGCTTCCACAGAGTACTTTTTCACTCTTGATAAATTGGCCACAGATAAAGCAAAATGCGTCTGCCGGATTCGTGCAGCCTCTTGATGCCATCTCAGAAAAATGCAGATATGTATCCACTTAGGCAGCTGGAACTAAACTGAACTTGTGGGCTTAAGGCCCCTGTATTTATAGTACTATTTATATTACTGGAAAGTTCCAGAATGTTCTAGAAGTTACTCCAAGTTTACTCAGCACTGAATCTATCTGGATTGTTCTGGAAAATAGGTAGATTTCAAAATATCAATGTCCTGGTCACGAAAGCAAAGTTTGTGGGGAATAATAGGCATTTTCTCTACTTTTGAGGCATAAACAATTAGGAAATAACACTTACTACCCAGGAACAAAAAAAAAGTTACACTGTAATCATTCATTTCACTTAGCGCTCAGTAAATTTTATATTAGGCTAGCTGGCGTTGTGGTTAGAGCACTAGACTCTTCATTATGAGGGGTTATGGTTAAAATCCCGGTCGGGTTTCAACCCAGCCCAGCCATCCCAACTACAGGATTGGTTAAAATAACACATCACACACCGAGCCGACACCGCTGAGATCATGAGTTAGAACATAGGTGGTCGCCTGCGATTATGCCGCCTTCTCAAGTGTAGTGAGCTGATGGTCTCAGCCTGGTCACCAGTGGCTGTGCGTAGAAATCATTGCCTATAATTTTTGGTTCTGCGTTTAATTTGGCTAAATTCCAGCTCTGGCAATTATAAATGATGATTGACTTTGACGTGACAAACATCACGATCACATGTAGAACGGTTGGGGTAACTGCTCGCCTCTACTGTTTTTGGACCAGAGGTCACTTGAAGGGATCTCGAAGGTAGATCTGTGATATCTGTTGCCGCGGGCCGTTGTTTAACGTGGAACGGTTGCACTTCACTGCGGGAGTTGCTGAACAGATTATGGGGGAGTGCGCATGACAGGGAGCGACAGAAACAGGAATATGTGGATTCGAGAACAAATTCAGATTAGAGGCACCCTGTTGACTTGTTACGAAAAGTATATGTGCTTGGTCAGTACACCGCTCCTGAAGGGAAGACAGTCGTTCGTCAAGACTGCCAACAGAGAGGATGACCACTGCGGAGATGGAGCAGATAAATGGGCTGATATACCAAAGCTAAATGGATTGTTGTATTGTGAGTCCGTGAGCAATGTTGATCACTTTGAAAGGCCTTCATCCAGCATTGAATGGCTGATTGCAATGAATGTTACGTGCAGTGTCCTTCATACTCATTGCTGTTGTTACATGCAAATGTATTCTTGTACAAACCCTTCCCTCGCTCTCCGACCTAGCAATGCGTCTGTGTTTCTCAACCTTGTGGCCCTATGCGCTGCTTTAATATTTCGATTTATTAGGTTGGGCTTTAAGTGCTTGTTTGGACTCGCAGTAAAAGTGTTTTAACGTGCCCATTACCACGGCGGTTGCTTAAGTGCACTGTGTGTGTGTGAGGAGAGAGCTGGTTTAGGGGTGTGCGTGTTGGCTATTCTATTCTTGCGTATGGCAATATGTTCAGGAGCTGAATGCCAATCTTGAGGTCTGATAGCCAAAAGAGGGCTTCAGGAGAGAGTTCGTATAGTTTGTGCTTCCCCTTCGTGGAATGAGTGAAAACCACAGTGGCTTACTTTACATGTCATGTGGCTAAAGAGTGCTCATTGGCCCATATCAGATCAGGGACCCTTGTCCTCATCACCTCCTTGAGGAGCTGGTTTCGACGCCAAGTGCCTGCCCCCTCTCTGATAAAGCCAGGTTCTCATCCCGCACCTTCTTATTAGCGCGGGTGGCTACATACGGTGTGGCAGAAGTTCAAAACACACGCATGTTTTTCGTGCGTAGTGAGAGGCGATGGTCTCAGCCCAGTCACCAATGACTACTTGAGGAGATACTTTTTGAATCGGGTCTCTAGACCAATAGACTGACAGACCGGTGTCTGATAGGGTTCTGTAGAGTTAAAAACATATTTTGAACCACGTGCTCCACATTGTATAAATACATCTACCGCTCAATTCCAATGAACCACCCTGCTGTTAATCATAAAAAACAGGTGGAAGTTGTTTCCTTAAATAAATGAGCTAAGCAGAGCCCAATGGAGCGAACCAGTTCTAAAAAACAAAAGTTCTATAAACACGGCTGTATCTGAATTAGGTACACGGCTTGCTGGTAACCCTGTGTGGAGAGATAAGGGTGTATGATTTTACAGCACACACACACGTACACACAGCTTTCCGCCAAAACCTGCGTTTCCCACAGCGTCGGATTGTGTTCGGATCCGTACCCTAAATTTACATCCATGGGGCTTAATAATTAGAACATGTTGGGCTGGTATCGGTGTGAGTATTTTTATATTCTCATACCAGAGCACCTCGGTCGAATGTCTGAGAGAGCAAGCGAGCAAATGAGAGAGCAATTTAGAGAGTAAGTGGGCGAATAAGGGAGTAAGTGAGTGAGATAGTCTGTGGATTACTGACAGAATGAGTGAGTGACATCGGAAGAGAGTCGATAGGAAAGCGAGTGGGTGAGTGAGCGAGACGAGAGCAAGCCAGAGAGTGAGCACATGAGTGTTATGTGAGAGTGGTGATTGAGTGTAGAGAGTAAGTCAGCAACTGAGTGATTTTTTTCAGTGTGAAAAAGACTATGAAGCAAACAAATGAGTGAGTGAACAAGTACTGTCTGCGTGAACGTGAACAGGTAAGTCGCCACGTGAGTGTGAATGAACGAACGACTGTGTGAACGGACGACTGTGTGAACGGGGGAGTGTGGACGTCATTGTGCGAGTGACTGAGTGAACGAGCAAGTGACTAGCTCGAACGACTGAACAAAGCCGGGTGACCAAGTTGAGCAAGGAACTTGGCTGAGTAAGCGAGCGGCGACCTCTCACCAACCACACGGCTCCGTGCGGTCATCTCCTCACGCCCACCACCGATCCCCGGGCTCGCTCCGCTCCGTCCGCCCACCTCTCGTCGCGGTGGCTCGCTTAATGGACTGGCTCAGGCGGCTCATGCTGTGCCCCGGCGCGCGTGCGCGCTGCCGCTCGGAGCGCAGGCTTGCCCGGCACTCGCGTGCCTCGATCGGCACCCGCGGCGGCGGCGGCAGCGCAGCGGCGGCGGCGCCGGCGGCGGCGCCAGCAGCGGCGGCGGCAGGAGGAGGAGGAGGAGGAAGAGGGACCGGTGTTGCTGCGGCTTTGGCTGCGGTTGTGGCGGGGAGAGGGCGGTGTGGCCGTGCCTGGCTCGACTGCATCATGGGGCAGCAGGAGGAGGAGGAGGGGGGGGCGGTCGGGTGGCTGCGTCGCTGAGCCCCCGGGCGGGGAGGGGGCTGCTGTGCCCCCCGGCGCGAGGGGAGATGAGCGGGGGACCCGGGCAGACGGACATCCTGGCCATCGGCTTCCTGGTGAAGGAACGCTGGAAAGTGGTAACGGCACTCGCAGACACACTCTGTCTCTCGCCCTCTCTCTCTCTCTCTCCGCATTGGGATGACACGCAGCAGCAGAGCGGCAGCAGCGATCGTCAACTCCTCCTGGCAGGCCAGGTGCTGAAGTCACCTTGTGCCACACAGAGACAGCTGCCACTGAGGGTGCCCTTTAAAATGTGTTGAGATGAGATGTGATGCAAGTGGCTTACGGCATGCAAACCCGGGTTGAGATGCTCTGGCATAATGGACGATTAAGAACCAGGCTACAGTCTACATTAGTGTTTTTTTTATTCACTTTATTTGTTGTTATCTACGTGACTTTACTGAAAGGACCAAAGAATATTAATAATTGTCTCGTGCCTATGCCGATGGCGATTTTATTGCGTTTGTAGCAGTGGCGGTAGTGCTGGTGGTTGTGGTGGTTTTGCTGACGCTGTGATGTATATTGATGGTGGTGGTCATCATGGCAGCGATGTTAACGCAAATTGTGTTGTGTTGATAATAGCAGTGGTGTTGTCTGAACGGTAAGAGTAATGTGTTGGTGATGGAGGGTAATGATGGTGTTGTGTGGGCTTTGGTTACTGTGTTGAATTCCATGCACCGTGTCGCTCACACCATTGGAGATGAGCAATACCAATGTTTGACCAGATTTTATCCATTCCGAGTTTTGGATATTCAGAGATTCTTGGGCACATTACAAACACAGACACGCACACAAACACAAATGGATCCACATTGAAAAGCACAAAGGCACCCCCCCCCCCAGATAACCTTAGCAGACTGTTGGGGCAAGTGATGTTCACGAGCACCTGTGAGGCCAGGCACGGCACACGAGGGTTGTCGGTGGTCAACTTCACGCCTGGTTGCCTTTTGTCTCCCTAGTGGCAATGTTTACAGATCCCATCAGGTACTCATTTGAGGCTGAGTCTACCTAGGGGAGGCCCAGGACAGGCTCAGATAATCGTCACTGGTGTTTGGCCGTGAGTGGGAATTGAACTCGGGTTGTATGTTTGTTGAACTTCTTTTGCACTGTACGTAGCTAACCCTACTAATCGCAGGTGCGGGGAAAGGACAACAAACTAAACACAAAACGCATTCTATTAGTCCTTCCCCCGCACCTCCGATTAGCATGGTTGGCTACGTATGGTGCGAAAGAAGTTCAACATACATATATACATCAGGTTCATAGAGTAGTGCACGAACCACTACATCATTTCTCCCCACAGAAAAACACAGACACATGGACACACAATTGGACTGGAGACACACACAAGGTTACGCAGACAGGCACACGTGTATACAGACACACACACGGGGCCTGGGAACATGGCGGTGAGGTATGGGTTCACTTCCCCATCAAGGAATGTTGATAGTGGTTATCTACATCCTCACTGTAGATTAATATCTGTGGCTAATGAATCGGATGCCTTCCGTAACCCCCTTTCCCAATTGTTGGCTCACGGGGCCTCTCAAGATAGCCGTCGTATTCGGTGACTTTAACGCCAGAGTGGGTTATGGTATTTGCACTTGGGCAGGCGTGATGGAAGGTATAGGCTGTATACACCGTCTCTTCCCCCCCACCCCCACGTGTGTGTGTGTGTGCTGCTGTAGCTGAAGAAGATTGGGGGCGGTGGTTTTGGTGAGATCTACGAGGCCGTGGATTTGGAGTCTCGCGAGAGCGTCGCCCTCAAGGTCGAGTCGGCCACGCAGCCCAAGCAGGTGCTGCGTATGGAGGTGGCCGTGCTCAAGAAGCTGCAGGGTGACTCTCGCTGGCTCGCTCGCTCACTCAGAACCTCGCTCGCTCACTCAGAACCTCGCTCGCTCGCTCAGAACCTCGCTCGCTCGCTCGCTCAGAACCTCACTCGCTCGCTCACTCAGAACCTCGCTCGCTCACTCAGAACCTAGCTCGCTCACTCAGAACCTCGCTCGCTCGCTCACTCGGAACCTCGCTCGCTCGCTCAGAACCTTGCTCGCGCTTGCTCACAACCTCGCTCGCTCACTCAGAACCTCGCTCGCTCAGAACCTCGCTCGCTCGCTCAGAACCTCGCTCGCTCAGAACCTCGCTAGCGCTCGCTCACAACCTCACTCGCTCGCTCACTCGGAACCTCGCTCGCTCGCTCTCTCAGAACCTCACTCGCTCGCTCACTCAGAACCTCGCTCGCTCGCTCAGAACCTCACTCGCTCGCTCACTCAGAACCTCGCTCGCTCGCTCAGAACCTCGCTCGCTCGCTCAGAACCTCGCTCGCTCGCTCAGAACCTCGCTCGCTCGCTCAGAACCTCGCTCGCTCGCTCAGAACCTCGCTAGCGCTCGCTCACAACCTCACTCGCTCGCTCACTCGGAACCTCGCTCGCTCGCTCTCTCAGAACCTCACTCGCTCGTGCACTCAGAACCTCGCTCGCTCAACCTCACTAGCGCTCACTCAAACCTCACTCGCTCGCTCACTCAGAACCTCGCTCGCTCGCTCAGAACCTCGCTCACTCGCTCAGAACCTCACTAGCGCTCGCTCACAACCTCACTCGCTCGCTCACTCAGAACCTCGCTCGCTCGCTCAGAACCTTGCTCGCTCGCTCAGAACCTCGCTCGCTCGCTCAGAACCTCGCTAGCGCTTGCTCACAACCTCACTCGCTCGCTCACTCAGAACCTCGCTCGCTTGGTCACTCACAACCTCGCTGGCTTGCTGTCGCTCAGAACCTCGCTCGCTCTCACTCAGAACCTCGCTCGCTGTCGCTCAGACCTTCGCTCGCTGTCGCTCAGAACCTCGCTCGCTCAGAACCTCGCTCGCTGTCGCTCAGAACCTCGCTCACTCAGAACCTCGCTCGCTGAGAACCTCGCTCGCCGTTGCTCAGAACGTCGCTCGCTGTCGCTCAGAACCTTGCTCGCTCAGAACCTCACTCGCTCAGAACCTCGCTCGCTGTTGCTCAGAACCTTGCTCGCTCAGAACCTCGCTCGCTCTCACTCAGAACCTTGCTCTCTGTCGCTCAAAACCTTACTCGCTCAGAACCTCGCTCGCTCTCACTCAGAACCTTGCTCGCTGTCTCTCAGAACCTCGCTCGCTCAGAACTTCGCTCGCTGTTGCTCAAAACCTTACTCGCTCAGAACCTCGCTCTCACTCAGAACCTCGCTCGCTGTCACTCAGATCCGCTCTCGCTCAGAACCTCGCTCGCTCAGAACCTCGCTCGCTCAGAACCTCGCTCGCTGTTGCTCAAAACCTTGCTCGCTCAGAACCTCGCTCGCTGTCACTCAGAACCGCTCTCGCTCAGAACCTCGCTCACTCAGAACGTCGCTCGCTGTCGCTCAGAACCTCGCTCGCTCTTACTCAGAACTTCGCTCGCTGTCGCTCAGAACCTCGCTCGCTCAGAACGTCGCTCGCTGTTGCACAGAACCTTGTTTGTTCAGAAACTCGCTCGCTCTTACTCGGAACCTCGCTCGCTGTCACTCAGAATTTCGCTCGCTGTCACTCAGAACTTCGCTCGCTGTTTCTCAAAACCTCGCTCGCTCCGAACCTAGGTCGCTGTCGCTCAGAACCTTGCTCGCTCAGAACTTCGCTCTCGCGCAAAACCTCGCTCGCTGTTGCTCAGAACCTCGCTCGCTGTCGCTCAGAACCTAGCTCGCTGTTGCTCAGAACCTCGCTCGCTGTCGCTTAGAACCTCGCTCGCTATCACTCAGAACTTCGCTCGCTGTCACTCAGAACCTCGCTCGCTGTTGCTCAGAACTTCGCTCGCTATCACTCAGAACTTCGCTCGCTGTCACTCAGAACCACTCTCGCTCAGAACCTAGCTCGCTGTTGCTCAGAACCTTGCTTGCTCAGAACCTCGCTCGCTCTCACTCAGAACCTCGCTCGCTGTCGCTCAGAACCTCGCTCACTCAGAACCTCGCTCGCTGTCGCTCAGAACCTCGCTCGCTGTCACTCAGAACCGCTCTCGCTCAGAACCTCGCTCGCTCGCTCAGAACCTCGCTCGCTGTCGCTCAGAACCTTGCTCGCTGTCACTCAGAACCTCGCTCGCTCTCGCTCAGAACCTAGCTCGTTGTCGCTCAGAACCTCGCTCGCTCAGAACCTCGCTCGCTCTCGCTCAGAACCTAGCTCGCTGTTGCTCAGAACCTCGCTCGCTCAGAACCTCGCTCGCTGTCACTCAGAACCTCGCTCGCTGTCGCTCAGAACCTCGCTCGCTCTCGCTCAGAACCTAGCTCGCTGTCGCTCAGAACCTCGCTCGCTCAAAACCTCGCTCGCTGTCACTCAGAACCTCGCTCAGAACTTCGCTTTCGCTCAGAACCTACCTCGCTGTCACTCAGAACTTCGCTCACTGTCGTTCAGAACTTCGCTTTCGCTCAGAACCTCGCTCGCTCGCTCAGAACTTCGTTCACTCTCGCTCAGAACCTCTCTCGGTCAGAATCTCGCTCGCTGTCGCTCAGAACCTCGCTTGCTCTCGCTCAGAACCTGTCTCGCTCAGATCCTCGCTCGCTAGTCACTCAGAACCTCGCTCGTTCTCGCTCAGAACCTCGCTCGCTATCGATCAGTGAACACTCACTCACTTACTCAATGTCACACTCGGTCGCTCACACTTATTCGCTGGCACACTCAGTCGCTCACTGGCCGACCTCTCTGCAGGCAAGGACCATGTGTGTCAGTTCATCGGATGCGGCCGCAATGACAAATTCAACTACGTCGTCATGGAGCTGCAGGTGACAACTCCCATCCTCAGCCCCGTCTCCCTGTCTCTCTCACTCCAACTCTCCTCATCTCTTTCTCTCCATCACCCCCCCCTCCCCGTTCTTGTTTTATCTCCCTCTGTCTTCTTACCCCAGTTTCCCTGTCTCTCTTTCTCGCCATCTCCCCTTCTCCCCCTGCACCTTTTTTTCCTGTCTCTCTCTCTCTCTCTGGCTGCCTGCCTGTTTCAAACCTTGGCGAATGCTGTCACTGTCTCAGCTCTCCTCGTTGTCTTCCTGTCTCCTATCTGTCTTCTTTCTCTCTGTCAGCTCATCTTGTAAGATTGTCTCCCGGCCAACGCGCGTGTGTGTGTACGCCCGGGCATGTGGATTTAATACGTGCGTGTGGATACACCCGTGCGTGCGTGCATCCGTAAGCCTTGTTTAAATATATATGTGAAATCTGAGTGGTGCCATGTGCTGATGTGCACTATAATCCAGCCACATGATTACAATTGTTGATGCCGACCTTGACTTGTCTTACCGGCACTGCAAGTCGTCTGGGAAAACCTCCCAAGATGTGTGTGTATGTAGAGTGGGGCACGTTTACACGTCATCACTGACTCCTATTCCTATGTTTGGGTCTTGTGTGTTAACCCGTGTGTGTATTTCACGTTAGTGTGTGTGAGTGTGGGAAGCTGTAGTCTCGCGGTTAGCGCACTTTCCCTACGAACTCGGTGACCCGAGTTCAATTCTCGCTCTCGATTATCTGAACCGGTCCTGAGCCTCCCCTAGGTTGAATCGGCCTCCAATGAGTATCTGGTGCGGGGTGTAAATATCGCCACTTGGGAGACAAAGACGGCTGGGCATGATCCTAGCCACCCACCCCCTCGTGTGCTGTGCTGGCCTTCATAGGTACTACTGGCTTAACAGCACTTGCCCCTAAAGTTTGTTAAGGCTACAGGAGGGATCTTTGAATGTGCGAATGTGCGTTTGAACTGGGAGTGGTAGTGCAGTGATAAGCACACTGCACTACATATCTAGTGACCCAGGTTCAATACCCTTTCAGGAAGAGCATCAATACCTGGTAAACACGTGTTAAACGTCACGATCGAGGAGACGCATGCCTCCGGCCGTAGTTGGCTTCTGGCCCTACCAACCCCCCACCAACCCCCCACCCCCACACCCCCCTCGTTTGTCTTTCCGGCCTGCATCGTGCTCCGTGACTCCGTGTTTTGTCTCCGCACCTTCGCTGTAACTCGCGTAGGGCCGCAACCTGGCGGACTTGCGCAGGAGCCAGGCGCGTGGCACATTCAGCCTGAGCACCACTCTGCGCCTGGGCAAGCAGATGCTCGAGGCCATAGAGAGCATCCACTGGGCTTCCTGCACCGGGACATCAAGCCTGTGAGACGCCTGCCCTCGTGCGTGTTGGGTGGGTGCGCGTGTGTGGGTGGTGCTGGCCACCCACCCCCTCGTGTTCCGTTCCGGCCTTCATAGGTGCTCGTTAACAGCGTTTGCCCCAACAGTCTGTTAGGGCTATACGGGGGGAATCTTTGTCTTTGTGTGTGCGTGTGTGGTGTGTGTGCCTGTGTGTGTGGGGAATGGTGGCGCAGCGGTTAGCGCGCTTTGCTACGAACCCGGCGACCCGGGTTTGATTTCCGCTCACGGCCAATAACAGTTACGATTTTTCTCAACCAGTTTTGGGCATCCCCTCGGTCGACTCAGCCTCAATTGAGTACCTGGTGCGATGTGTAAAAACATTGCCATGAGGGAGACAAAGGCGGCCCGGTATGGTGCTGGCCACCCACCCCCGCGTGTGATTTTGCCGGCCTTCATAGGTGCTCGCTAACAGCACTTGCCCCAACAGTCTGTTCAGGCTATATGGGTGATCTTTGGGGAGCGGTGACACAGCGGCTAGTGTGCTTTGCTATGAACCTGGTGACCCGAGTTCGATCCCTGCTCATGACCAATAACAGTTACGATTTTTCTGAACCAGTTCTGGACTTTCCCTGGGTCTAATCAGCCTCATATGAGTACATGGAGTGCAGTGTGTAAACATTAGCATCGGGGAGACAAAGGTGGCCGGGCGTGGTGCCAGGCACCTATTGCCTTGTGTGCCGTGCGTGCATAAATAGACGCCCACAGTACTTGCCCCACCAGTCTGTTGATGGCTATACGGAGAATCTTTGTCTTGTGCGTGAGGGTGGGGCTGGATATGTTACCTTCACAAACCTATTGTAGCTATGTACAGTCTGTTCTCCTTTAACGTGATAGTTGCGTTCCACAAGAACACCGTGTTATGGAAAACTCGCGTTATAATAAATAACATAATATAGGGGGTAAAGCACAGCCCGCGATGACACGTGGGATGTGTACGCAGGCTGAACAAAGACTGAGGCGCGTGGGTAGCATCTAGAAGCATCCAGCAGCATCCCGCATTTTGTGATGCTACACCGAGGCAACCGTACAACCGCTTATTCCTACTCGCGCGACGTAGTTCTGTTCACTCAATCGCGTGATATCCAATTCGCGTTATGAAAACAACACGCGTTACAGGAAAACAGATTGTGCCTGCATTTGTGTGCCAATAATCTGTGTGTGACCATATTTATCTGTCTATGTGTGTGTGTGTGTATGCCGGTATCTGTGTGTGTGTGCGCCCACAGTCCAACTTCGCCATGGGCCGGCTGCCTGGCACGCACAGAAATTGCTTCATGCTGGACTTTGGGCTGGCGCGGCAGTACACCAGCTCCACTGGGGAGGTCCGGCCGGTAATGCCGCCCAGCGGTGTAGCACACACGCCAGCGCAAGCTGGCGGTCCGATGCGTTTCAGCGAGCCCCTCACATTTTGTCAAACGTGCACGTGCAGCCCCTTTGTCCATCCCCCTGCTGAACGGAAGTCTTCCCACGCCGATGCCGGTGGGTGTGGTAGAAGGACCATCAGTGCGGGTTGGTGAAGGCGGGGAGCGTAAGGCATGGAAGCACAGAAGTATGGTACAATGATGTAATTTTCTGCTCCGCCTCCAGTAGCAGTGTTTACAGGGCGCCCGCTATAAGGAGAGAATGTGCTGCATTATATTCTTGGTTCTTTCGGTAAAGTCGTGTAGAAGGGAAATAATAAAATAATAAAAAATCAAACATAAAATTGTGAGAATATTATTATTACTCAATCAACACGGACCACAGAAGCTCACCGTGGCTGGGCCATGGGGTGGGCTGCCAGCGCCCACCGACCTAACGGCGTCGTCAGGGCGTTAATCCAGGTCCCAAATATCCGTGGGAAATTCCGAAATGTCAGCAAAGTTAAGAAACAAATTGTGTTCGGAGATTTAAGATTAATAAGCAAATGGCTGCACGGACGCATACACACGAATGAATGCACGGTGATGTCGTACGTTGGAGGTTGCTTCCCTCTATTCTATTTCAGAAGAGAATAGCACGGAATAGAATAGCATGGTTTACGGTTTTGTAGTGTTCACAGATGTATGGAAATACTCATTATGAAATATTACATCTGTGCATCTGAGAACAACACGATGATATTTCCTTGGCATAGCAATAGGTATTACGTCAGCTCCCTTAAAATAAGTAATGCTATATTACTAAGGTATTATATATACCTTCCGACATAGCCGGGTGGTTGGCTCAGGGGCCTGATATTTTGTCACACCACTGAGCCAGCTTCACTGAGATGCTGGGTTCGTGTTTGGGTTTCAGCCGCCAAAGTCAGCGGTCGCCAACCTGTGGCTCGTAAAAAAATTGCTTCGTTGACGTTATTTATTAAGGACCGTTTCGTATTCACATGCATTGCGTTTTTTTTTAACCAATTTAGAAAAAAAATTGCTGCACTTGTTGTTTTGGTTGCCGACCCCAGACCTAGGTTCTCATCTGTAGCCAGGTAGTGGTCTCTGCCTGTTCACCGGTGACTACGCAGACAAAAACCTACAGTAAATTTGTTTTTTCACTGAATTTGTCGTAGCATAGCATCAAGGATGAAAAATAATTAATGTATATCGAATTATTGACATGGCAAACGTTTTTTTTTTTCAATGAACAAAGCAGCCGTTTGATTATGAAGATAACGTTTCACGCAATTGATTACGTGATTTTAGTCGCGCATTTAATTCTCGAAGCAGGATAAGTCCGGCTTAAGTCAACGACCTCGTGTGCGCGATGCGTTTTTATTGGCGCAGCCAATGGTGACCGGGCGGGTGGGAGCTTGGGATACGAAGCTGGAACTCGTGCTGGCTCCACAGTCTTGACACAGCCACTGTTGAACCGAGTAACGCCGTTGTGTCGTTTGTTGTTGATTACAGCCGCGCGCCGTGGCCGGATTCCGGGGCACGGTGCGATACGCTTCGGTCAACGCTCACAAGAACCGGGTACGTGAGCTCCACGCTCGGGAAGGCGGTGGGTGACGTTCACAGGGTTGAGTTCATCATTGGGGGGCGACCTCAATTTTTTTCCCCCCCGTGTTCTTTTTTCCTGTTTAGTTTAAAACCCTTTGTCTTTTTGGTCGTGCAATTGGCGTCGTGCCATGAGACGTAGATTCCATTGAGGTCTCGCGCAGGGCACCTTGCAGCTGCGGCTGAGACCATCAACTCGCTACACTTGAGAACCCAGTTTAGTCACGGGCAACTGCCCGCATTCGAACTCGTACGGTAACGTGGACGTTACTTTGTCAATGGCCGCCTCTTGAGACTAAAGGGGATAACGCAGCCAATTTAGCCTGCTTACACGACGCATATCAATTCATCTCCTCATTGCATCTCCTGCTCAATGCATCTCCTGCCTACACAACGCATCTCAGTACATCTCCTTCTCACAGCCCCCTGCGCTAAGCACACCACTGCCTTAACACACAAAGTCCCTCTGTCGCCTCCACATTCTCACTTCTTCCTCGCATCCGTAACGAAGGCGGACAGGAGGACCCGTACCTTACCAATGACGTCAAAAACTCGTTGCGGGTAAAGCTCACGTTAAGACCCCAGAGTCTGAAACTGCCAACAGCTGCGGCAGTGCCCCAGACGATATTCCTTGCCCTGCAGAGCTTGCGTAATTTAGGCTACTGCAGAGAATGACGTGAATTAAAGCGTAAGCAACTGAGACCGAAGAAGGCGAGAATAGAGACGAGATGGGTCGTGAACACGAGACAAAGAGGAATGCTTGACTCCGAATGATGACGTTTCATTGATTTTGCTGCGTTGGCCATAGTGGGGGAGGGGGGGGGTAATTGATACGTGCTGACGTGGAACAAGTTTTAGGGGAGAGTCATGCGTGCGGATTGACTCTGTAACGCTGCCCGAGGCGCGTTTGTCCTGCGTATTATTTAAATATTGAATCGGTGGTATGGGAAGCCGATGGCCGTCTGTATGGGCAAAATACGTTGCCCTCAAGTTTTTGGGCAACACCGATCCGTTTGGCCGGTTTTCAATGCGATAGGTCTCCAACAGCGAGACTTTGTGTCTTAGGGGCCGTCCGTGTCAGATCGTTTTCCATAAAAGCGAAGTCTTCTGCTCCCAGCTAAGTCAGGATGTGCGTTCAAGAGGAGGGCAGAGAAAGCGCTTCAAGGATGTCCTCGAAGCCCACATGAAGAAGTGCGCCATCGACACTGACTCTTCGGAGACTGGCCCAGGATCACCTCAGATGGAGACACACAGCGAGTCTGTTTCAAGGACCCAAACATTTTGAAACTCAATGGCGGAAACAGGAAGAAGAAAAGCCGGAACGGCAGAAGCAGCAATGCTGCAGCCCGACTTACTAATCCAGTTCAACCCACAACTCTTTCTGGACACATGAGCCCTAACTGTGACAGAATCTGTCATTCCCAGATCGGTCTCTTCAGCCATCTCCAGACCCACAGATAATCCAACTTTTCTACGGAAGACAATCATCCTCATTTGCGAGGGATAGCCCATTACGATGAGTGGCTCCTCCCCTGGTATGGCTTTACAGGAGGACAGAGTCAATGCATATGTGCTTTCAACCTTGCTTGGAAAGGGTTAAAAAGTTGATGGGGGATTTAAAATGTAAGCGGTGAGACCCTTGAAATGAACGGATATCAGAATCAGAATCTTTACTTAGACTGGAGTAACCTGATGAGCTATGAAGCTCTTTTTCACAGGTGTCCAGGATGGGCGGGTCAGCAAGTTGCAGTAGCTGTGTCACGTGGATGCTGCGCTCACTGCCCTCCGGCCCCCATGTGTGTTGCCGTGTGCGTGCGGTGCAGGAGATGGGTCGCCATGACGACCTGTGGTCCCTCTTCTACATGCTCGTGGAATTCGCTATCGGACAGCTGCCATGGAGGAAAATCAAGGACAAGGTGAGATGGGATGGGGGGGGGGAGGCTCATGCAGTGAGCGGCGACAGCGGCCGAGTGGTCTCGCGTTCATCGCAGAGGTTCACCGGTTCGAATCCGGCAGGCCGCCCCGGTTAATGCTGCGGTGTGTATTGACCAAAAAAAAAGACTACTACACGCACGCGCCGTCCACTCTTCGCAACGGACGTTTAAAAGATCCCATGGCGTCATTCGCAAGAGCTGGCCGTTGTGTGTGCCGGTGTCAGCGTCCATGTTTGAAACAAATTACCCCCAAATTTACGCCATTGGATTGTACACGGCAATCATGACTCGTGAGGCCAAATTAGAAACAGAGCCAGCAATCACCAGAGACCCCTGAGCTCAACGCTGAAAAATTATTTCACTGAACTTCTTCTGAAGTTGGCTTATGTATCCACACTGGGGGGGGGGGGCATAACTTTTATCTGCCGTGCAACGTGTGTTCTTCTCACTTAAAAAAACAGACGTTGTAGTCATCAGTGCTGGAAATAAGCCGAAATAAGTGATAAAAAACATACCGTAACACGATGGGGTTTTGTACAGGCATTGGTTACTGGTCTGAGACCATCAGCACTGTGATCTCGAGAACTCAGTGTAGTCGTGGATCGTTCAATCCCAGGTTAAGTAGTAGCCTCGAGCTGCCTGGCCAACTTGATCGTTGTATAATTAACACGTGACATGCAGCGCGCAGTTAACAAAGGGGAATCGCTCTCTTCTGACTCTACTCGTTGAGATATATTTCCCTTTACTATGGCAACCATCTGCCTTTTATCTCTCCGCCTCGCGCACCATCCTTTTCCTCATTCTCTTCCTCCCCGTCCTGGTTGTCGTGGCGTGTTACCACGGCGAGCAGGAGCAGGTGGGGCTCATCAAGGAGAAGTACGACCATCGGCTGCTGCTCAAGCACATGCCGTCAGGCTTCCAGGCCTTCCTCGACCACGTGTCGGCACTCGACTACCTCACCAAGCCCAACTACGAGGTGAGGGCTCCTCTCGCCCGCTCACCCGATTCCCTCACCCAGTCACGCACCCGCTCATTCATCCATTTTACTCACCCGATCACGCGCTCACTCGCTCACTGGCTCAACTCGCCCATTCATTTGTCCAAACATTCACCCGCTCACCCACATGCCCCTTCGCATCCCCAGCACTTTTCCACGGGTCTTCGTGTTTCCCCGCGCGTCCCCCCCTGCGCGTCCTTATGCGCGTGCAGCTGATCCTGTCGATGCTGGAGAGCGGCATGCACGAGCTGGGCGTTACGGAGAACGAGCCGTACGACTGGGAGCGAAGCGGCGCCGACGCGTCCGTCACCACCACCACCACCACCTCCACGCCGCCGCAGCAGCAGCAGCAGCACACGAGGCACACAGCCGCAGCGCTTGGGTGAGCGGCCGCTGCACCGGGATTTTCCCTTGGACTGGCGCTTTGAGCTTTGGGATCAGCGCACGGAATCCTAGCTAAGTAGACGCCAAACGCGATCTCACCGCCTTCATCATTGATACTGCCTTACACAAGGAAAATGCACGGGTAGGCATGTGTTTTGGGAAATGGACCTTCAGCATTTAGAGTATTTGGCTGCTTTAAATTTCCACGTGATAAGCCACTATTTGTGATAAGCTACTAAATACTTCAGTGGGCCTTACCTGGTAAAATACAACTTGTTTAGTGGTATAGTTTAGAACTCTGGCGGTGACCGATCTGGCTCTCCAAAGGACGTTGCCCGAAGCGTGAGTCCACTATATAACAGGGGGGGTTCCCTCGAATTACGTTGCTCATATTTACGTTGTTTCGCTATAACGTTTGCCAACGAATTAGGGAATGTAATTTTTTAATTGGAAAATTTTAAAAGGAATATTACGCGGTAGTTTGGGTAGAGTACGTTATGCCGAACTATGCCACTGGATGCTGTACTTACCATCTCTAGATGCAATCTCCACAGTCATCTCTGGTGAGTATCCTGTGTCAACTCATATGTTTAAGCTTGTTATGTAGCATCTCTTTGGGTATCTTTCGATATCTTTTTTGGCACTTGTTTAATGTCTAACACGTAGTAGGCTTTCACAACCAATATTATCCGTAAAAAAGTTTTTTTGGGTTAGGTCACGTACATATATAAATGTGTTGTTAAACCCGCCACCACCCGAAACAGCCAATTAATAAGATTTTTCACGTACACAAAACATGCCATTTAGTTACTAGTTCATTGTAATTTTTATGAATACATTAACTCCCACCCCCCATCTGGTCTTCGCACCTTATTGGCTCACAAGTGATGACATTACATTTATCCCTTTATTTAAGGTCGAAACAGGAGGATTTCTCCACAAATCTGGCTATCGCCCGATGAGGCTGGTTGTAATTACCGGCGAGACGTCATACTCAGATTGTAAATGTTGTGGGTTTACTCTCCAACACACCGGTGTGCTGAACTAGTAACTAATTAATATGTTTTGTTTCCGTGAAAAACGCACTACTTGGCTGTGTCGGCTGGTGGCGGGTTTAAGGGCACATTTATATTTACACGATCTAACCCAAAAAAAACTTCTATTATGGATACTTTTTGAATATTTTTTATGCCAATTTTTACCAAAAATTTACCCTCAGGGAACGTACCCTAACCCGGCAGGAATCCAAGTTCGATTCTCGCTCGCGGCCACCGCCAACACAAGTATCTGCGAATAGATTAATTGGTCTCGGGCCTCCCCTAGGTGGACTCAGCCTCAAATGAGTACCTGGTGCGGTGTGTAAGGATCAGCACTGGGGAGACAAAGTCAACTGGGCACGATGTTGGCCACCCACCGCCTCGTGTGCCCTGCCGCCCTCCGTTGGCGCTACTCCGCTAATACATGAAAGTCTGTGAAAAGCCTACACGGGGGACCTTTGTCTGTCGTGTGTGTGCGTGCGCGTAGTGTGGCGCACCCCACGCCGCCGCTGCAGGGCGACGTGCAGCAGCACGAAAGCACCTACGACGTGCTGCAGGACGAGCAGCTGAGCGAGCAGGAGAACGCGCCGTCGCCCCTGCAGCCGGTGCGACCCCCGCCGGGTTGCCCCCCCGCCCCTCCCCCGCCACCCCCTTCCGTGCCGCCGCCACCGCCGCCGCCGAGCGCCGCCCCGGTGCCGCCGCCGGCGCTGCGGGCGCCGGGCGCTCTCCCGCCGCCGCCGCCGCCGCCGCTGTTGCCGGGCGACCTGCGACGGCAGAACCGCACCGACCAGAACCGCAACAAGATCGGCGCGGATGCGTGCTGGGGGGTAAAACAACTTTCCGTCGCTTCTTTCCTTCTGCCGAATCCCATGGATGTTGTATTGTCGGCAGCCGACCTCCGAAATCTGCTGCTCCGGAGTTTCGTTATAACCACTGGCCTCCTAGTTTGCTGTCCACGCTGTTGACTCGTCCTTCAAGGACTGTTCTCGTAGCCTCATCATCGCCGCTATCCGGCTTTTGGTCCTCCTCTTGCTTGGTTCCCGACCTCTGGGTGCCACTCGTCTGTAACCTGCCCAGCTGGACAGCACCGCATCCTCAAAGTGTCTTCCTGCTCCAGCAAGCACCTCCGATTGGCACGGTTGGCTACGTGCGGTACGAAAGAAATTCAACATACCAAGTGGTTATCTGATTTGGTGCCCCTAAGCCACTGGTGGAAATTCCACATTCTCTTAGCAGGAGCCATTCCCTTCTATCGGCCAGCCACGGTGGACTTATTTTAAAGTGGTACAGCGGTCATTGGCGAGAGTGGAGGGAGGTGGTGATTGGCTGAGTCCACCCTTGAGCTGGATTTGACCTCGTGGGCTTCCACGGCCCGAGCTGTAAATGCTCTCGCTCTGACCGCATCGTAATCCCACCCGGATAATTGCGATGATGTGAACGCTTTGTTACTACTTCGTGGTAAGTAAAACGTTATTTGTGGAATACGTGCATACGCGCGTCCGTGTGAGAGCAAGAGCCAAAAAGATGTAGATCCCTCGTTGTGTACACCGTGCGACTTACCCAGCCTGCCTGAGTTTGATTTCCAGCGGCTGCACATAGTCAATCGACCACCGGGGATCAAACAGGCACAGAACAAGAGATGTGTGGAGGAAGCAGTGGCTAAAACAGGATATGAGTGTGTACACTAGGGGAGATGATTCCATATTCAACGCAAGAGCGCTTGGTGAAAGAGAGAAGAGATGCCCAACGGACGGCTCAGCCAAGTACAAGTGGCTGTGAATGCTTGTGTGGTTAATTGAGCGGCGCTTATCTGAACAAGTCCTGGGCCTTCCCTAGGAAGACTCTGCCTCGAATGAGTACCTGGAACGTTCTGTAAATGTCAGTACTGTGGGGAGGCAACGTCGGTCGGGCATGGTGCCGGCCTCGCCACCGCCCCCTCGTGCGCCGTTCCAGCCTTAATTGGTGCTCGCTAACAACACTTACCCCGACGGTCTGTACGGCTATAGGGGGATCTTTGTGCGTGTGAACATGCGTGTTTTCAACCGAGCAGACACACACACGTATACTCGCGCGCACACACACGTATATTAACCCGTGTGTACGCTTTCCAGGATGAGCGGCATTTGGAACAAGGAGACATGTCCACGGTGAGGGAGAACGGGGAGGTCGGAGGAAGGTAATGACTCCTCTCTTACACTCTCTACACCACGCCACTGAGCATCACGCCACGTCACACCATGCCATATCACGCCATACCACGTGACGCCACAACATGCCACGTGACACCACGTTGCACCGTGCCACATCATGCCACACCATGCCACTCCACGCCACGCCACGCCACACCCTGCCACACCGCACACAAGGAGCGGAGCAGTGTTAGATCAAACCGTCTCCTTCCTTAAACAAGCGCAGCTATCATCGCCGCTCGCGGCCCTGAGCGCCATGGTGAAACTTCCACATTCGCATGGTGGAGCCCGGTTTCTCTATAGAACACAATCGTGGTCGACTTGTGAGTGCCACGGTGGCTAGATGTTAACTACCTCGCCTGGTATACAGGAGATCATTGGCATGATCGTGACCATGATGATGCCTCTATATTTGGAGTTTGTATGTTCTCCTTGGGGTCGCGCGATTTAGAATCAACATGCATTTAGAGTAATTGGCTGCTATACATTTCCACGTGATAAGCCACTTCGTTGAGCTTTCATTTGTGATAGCCAGGTCGCTTTTGAAAAAGAGCTACACAGCTCAGTGGGCCTTACCTGGTGAAATACAATGTTTAAATAGCTTAATGTGGGGGGACAAAGCCACATGGAAAACCTGGAGAAAGCTCACCCAGAAGAGGGGACAACTTTGATCGATCGATAACTCAGAGCTGTGCATGGGTGACGTAAGAATCCATTGCTTTACTGTCACCTTCTGGCAACCTCACCTATAACACCTGGTATTCCCAGGCAGTATGTATGTTGAACTTCTTTCGTACCGTACGTTGCCAGCTGTGCTAATATGAGGTGCGAGCCTTCAGTCCCAATACCAACCACATTGAACCCTGCCTAACTTTTTGATGTCTGATCATATCGGGGCGTATTCAGGGTGATTTGGCCCAATAATAGTAATATGTAGAGACACTGTCATCTACAAAACCACGTGTAAACACTGTATACCGTGCAAAAGTGCGGCTGGATTTCGCGGTACTGGCTGAGCAAATCGGTGAGGTTCGCCCATGTCTAACTTCGTACAGGCCCGACACGCGCGGGGAGACCTGGTGGGACCCAAAGCTGGAGGGGGCGGTGGCAGCCCCCGCCGCTCACGTGTGGCACCACGACGACGTTTACCACGGCGACGGTTACCACGAAAATGGTCACCTTGGCGACGGCGTCCACGGCGGTGACAATAACGAGGGCGGTGGCAGCGCGCTACCCGCGACCACTCCGACGGACGAGTGGGTCGTCGTGGAGCACGAGGACTTCCCGCCGGACGGGGGTCGACCCCCCGCTGATGCCGCGGTGCATTCTGGGAGGACGCGTGGAGACGGTGCCGCCGATGAGCTCTGCTCCCTGGAAGACGACGATGAAGATGGCGACGAGGGTGGTGGAAATGGTGCGGCGCCGGCGGAGGAAGAGGGCAGAAGGGCGCACGGCGGCGCTCGAGCCAAGGGGGTGGCCGTCAATAAAATGGACTTGTCATCGCCCGAGCGCGATCAGGGGGCGGCACAGGAAGTGGACTCCATTGGACCGTTGGGTCACGTGACTTCAATCCGATTCGGGGACCCAGAATTGTGGTTGGATTCGGAGGGGGCCAGGGAGAGGAAGAGAGTTGAGGTGAGTTTGGTTTAAAATACCCGTCAAACAAGCGTCTACATAATTGAACTTGCTGTTACTGAATGAATTCCACTTTGAATGCTTTCAGCGTCTTCGCCGCTCTGACCGTGATAGTGCCGATGCGAACGCACGTGCATTCGTATCTCTGGGGACCTTTTTTGCCAGTATAAAAATGATGAAATAATAAGAATAGGCTTTACCCCTTATGGCAATAACATAGATGTAACTGCTCAACCCGAGCTATTAATGCTATTGATATTTTCACCGCCTTTGTTCTGTTCGTCTTTTGGCGTTCTATGGTCTGACACTGGTGAGACAAGGTCATAAAGAAGGCTGTCTCTGGTGTAGGCCAATCAGTTTCAAAGCCAATGCCACATATTATCAGAGCGTGTTTGGTTGCATGTTTTGCCACAAGTTATGTGTGGTTAATGCACACTTGATGTCTCGCAATAGGTGTTTTTGGTATTTAGACATCTTAAACGCCTCCTGTATTATTGCCAGAAAGGGTAAAGTCTATTCTTATTATTACGTGCATTCGTGCATGCATTTTAAATGTATGTGTGCATACATATCTACAAAGTGAGGACCGGTAGTGCAATGGTGAGCACATTGCACTATGAATGACGCGACCCGAGTTCAATTCCCGCTCACGACCAATATCAGTTACCTACATCTGAACTGGTCCTGGGCCTCCCAAGGGTCGCGTCAGCCTTAAATGAGTTTTTTGGTGCCAGTGTGGAAACTATAACACTAGGGAGACAAAGGCGGCCTGGAATGGTGCTGGCTACCCACCCCCTCGTGTGCTGTGCCGGCTTTCATTGGTGCTCACTTAATAGCACTTGCCCCAAAAGTCTGGTAAGGCTATTCGGGGGATCTTTGTATTACATGTGAGTGTGTGGTGTGTGCGGAGCGGTAGTCTAGCGGTTAGCGTGCTGCGCTATGAATCCGGTGATCCGAGTTTGATTACCGATCACAGTGATCTGAACTGGTCCTAGGCCTCCTGTTGGTCGAATCAGCCTCAAATGAGTATCCGGTGCAGTGTGTAATTATTATCACCGGGGAAACAAAGGCGGCCTGGCGTGGTGCTTGGTACCCATCCCCTCGAGTGCCGTGCCTGCTTTCATTGGTGCTCGCTTAACGGCACTCGCCCTCACAAGTCCGTGAAAGACTATACGGTGTGGGGATCTTTGTCTTTGATGTGGTGTACAGCGGACATCCCCACCGGATGTGAGCCGAGGTCACGACCCCGGCGTGCCGCCCCCCGCCCAGTCCCCTGTGCCGCGAAGCGCGTCCGGCTCGAGCAGCCCCTTGGGCTCCGTTGGGCGCCGCCAGCTGCCCCTGCTGCCCCGCGCCTCGGGCATCAAGCTGCTGCCCTCCGTCATCCGCATCTCCAACGCCCAGCTCAGCCAGGTGATCAGGGCAAGGCAAGGTCGAGCCAGATGGAACGGGGGGCATCGTTTAGCCACCTCTAAAGGAAACAAGTATTCAGAATCGAAATATTTATTTACCCTGGAAGAATCCGAAGAGCTTATGAAGCTCTCTACCACCCTACTGTTGCAATTCAACTTCACACGGTTCCACTTGTGGCACGGTGGCAAGTGCCAGTGGTTGCGTTTGCCACTTGTTGTTGCAGAGGTTCACCGTTCGAATCTGGCGGTCGCCCTGATTAACACTGAGGTCGGATTAACCGTGAAAATACCACGGGCCGCCTACTTCACAGTGGACATTAGAGATCTCCCAAAGTCATTCGCAAGAGTAGGCCGGTTGTGCGCCGGCACCAAAGGGCCCACATTTTCCAAATTCGAAAATTGGCCACAAATTAAACAAAGTGGAATAATACATGGCAATCATCGTCCCTTAATGGCAGACTAATGCCCCAGGTCACTCTTGCAATGAGACTGTCCTGACTTCTCGCTTGGCGTGAACAAAGTAAACTTCGGGAATACCTACCTTCGCGGACATATACTTTATCCACGTGAACAGACATTCCAAATGAAGACCGGTCTTGGGCCCTTTCAGTCAAGCGCCATCATCATGGCCGGCTCCCATCGTACCTTGCGCACCGCGTGACGATTCGCACGTGTGTTTGTGCCCCGCGCAGCTGTCGAGTGGCTGGGAGGTGCCCCCACCGCTGCCTCCGTTACGGCCGCCCACGGCGCGCGAGGTGCCGCCGCTCCTTCACGCGGCCGCGCAACCCCCTGCATCACAACACCAGCGCGATGTCCAGGAGAGGGAGCCGGAGCAGAGCCGAGCCCTTGCAGCGACGCAGCCTTTACCGGTAGAGGCGTCGTCGCCGGTGGCGGCCTTGGCTGACTGGTCGACTTTGGCAATGAAGATAAACAATTGGCTCCAACCAGTAGATGTAATCGGTTGATGGATTCGACGAGCAGGTTGGATCAATCGTTTGATCCAGTTGCTCGTTGCGCCATACCGAAAGACTAATAATGGAGTTGGCTAAACACGCCAATGTAGGACCACAGAGCTTGGGCATCTGGTGGTGCCGGTTTTGGCTGCCTTCCCGCTTGTCTGGTTTTCAATGCCTCCCTGCGAAAACTGTGCACGTTACAAAGTCTACAGGTTTTTGATGTGCAATCTGCACGAATGACTCCACCTTCCGATGTTAGGAAGCCACTGGAGCTGTGCACTTGTAAATTTAGATTGAAAACTCATTTGTTTAGAACTGCGTTTTGTGTTTAGTTTGTTGTCTTTCCCCCGCACCTACGATTAACACGGTTGGCTACGTACGGTATGAAATAAGTTCTACATATATATGAATAACATGTCATTATTATTATAGACTGTGCCAGTATACCTGATCGATTAATAAACTCCATAGATCTGATAGATCGTTAAGTCAAATCAGTCAATAGACTGCGTGACTAGATCTGATGGTCCACTAGGCTCTATCAGTAGATCTGATTGATCAGTGAAAGTACACCAACTACTCGTCCGATCAACTTCACCAATCAGCCCCCGGCAACGTTCGGCAACAATTTCCATGCACTACATTTTAGTTTGCGCATAAAGTAGTCCATTATGATTTACGATCATCTGTGACTTAACGCGCACCTTTTGAATTTTAAATGTGGCTCATGTTTCAGGTCTCAGCTTAAAAAAGGAGACCTTTAATTTCCTTTGTCATAACTTCATAATTAAACTAAACTATTATTTTTTACTAAAACTGAACTATATAGCTTTTTTTCAGAAGCAACCTGGCCACAAATGATAGCTCAACTAAAGTGACTTTTCATGTGGGAATTTTTAGCAGCCAAATACTCTAAACGCACGTTGTTTGTAAATGTGGAGGGAAAAACCGCAGGACCCGGAGAAAAATCCACACGACCACGGGGAGAAAATGCGAACTACAAATATAGAGTAGACGTCAGGGTTGGTCTCGAACCCACATTCTCATGCATACCAAGCGAGGTAGTTAACATCTCGCCACCGTGACGAGGCGTTAACTTTTTTTTTCTTTATCGACGCCACCAGGACTCGGCCCAGATCATCGAGGACGGTGGGAAACGAGGAACGGACGAGGAGAAAAAGGAGGCTGTGGAGGAAAAGGTGGCAGAGGACGTGGAAAGCGTTCCTGTGCCGGCCGTGCGAGGGGCAGTCAAGGGCGACATGGAGCCGGAGCGACCCTGCGACGGCGAGCGTGGGCGAGCGAGAGCCGCCCCGCCCGTCGCCGACACCGACAACGACCCCTCGCTCACCGTCGTGTCGGCACGGCAAGCGGCGCCAAACTCGGACAGCGCAGCGGACAAACGGAAGGCTGCTGCCGCCGCCGCTGCCGGTGGCGCCACAGTGGAATACGCAGCTCAGAGGGGTGGCTTCAGCAGCACCGGCGCGTGTAACACGTCGGAACCCGCAACCCTGTCGTCTGCCCTCGCCGCGGAACTTGGTCCGGCCGCCGCCGCCGCCGCTTCCCCGCCGATCCGGACGCCGGGAGGGGAGTCCGCGCCGCTCACCCGGGTGGAGCGCACGTTCGCGGCCATCGCCGAGACAACGCGGCTGGGCGTGCGCCCGGCCCGCCGGCACGCCGCGGGGCCGCCCTCGGAGCCGGCCGATGACGGCCTGCCGGACCCCGCCGCCTGCGACCTCGATAGGAGCCTGAACCGGAGCGAGCGGCGAGGCCGCCACCGCCAAGCTCGACGCCACGACCGCCACGGCGACTCTGAGTCCGACGCCGAGGCCGAGACGGTTCGGAGCGTTCCGGACAGGACGTCCGGCGGCGGCGGCGGCGGCGCCGGAGGGGCGGTGGCTGGGTTGGAGCCCGCGCCACAGCCGGCGTCGCCAGGGAGGAGGCCGGCGATGCGAGAAGAGGCCGGCGTCCATCCCTTGGCGACGTCGGAGACTGGCGGAGACAAGTGGAGGGTGAGGGATTTCATGACGGCGAGGTTGTTGTGCGTGTGTGTGTGGCCATCGGTGCCCAGACTGAGACCCAACGAGCATCTGGTTTTGTTAGCGGATGCCAGAAAGCAGAATTCAGAGTCGGGTTTAGAGCGGTGCTGATCCAGTGATCTGAGGAGGAATTAAATGTTATTGAATGTCGCTTAATGCGGCTTTACCAGCTTTTGAGAATGAACAACGTTGGTTTGATGGACGTGTGGATTACACTATGTACAGGTCAAGTAAGAAGGGTGCCCCGCATGGTATGGGGGGTGGGTGAGAGGCGTGTGGAGGGGACTTTTGTTTCTCGTGGCCATTTCTGTCTCTGGGTTCTCAAACTACCTCCCAACATGCCAAACACTCGTTCAGAGAACTGGCCAAACATCCCAAATGCACAGGGTCTCAGACTTGACTGCGTAAATAAATGGCATTATTATTAGTAATATAATTATAAGAAGCTATCCATAATAGCCAATTAGTAAGGTTTGTCACGTGAACAAAACATGCCAATTAGTTACTAGTTCAGCACACCGGTATGTTGGAGAGTAAAGCCATAAGATTTACAATTCGAGTACTGTGATGTTTCGCCGGGAATTACACCCAGCCTCGTCAGTCGACAGCCAGAATTGTGGAGAAATCCTCCTGTTTTCGGTATTAAATAGAGGGGTTAAATGTGATGTCGTCACTTATAAGAACCTAACGGTCCCAACAAATTTCTGGGTCGTGAGAAAGGAAGGCAGCAATGCCCTCAATGTGGTACAATCACCGGCATTCCACACGGCGACCTCCTGACCTTGCCCTTGACCTTCTGCTCAGGCGGAGCCTCGCTCGGAAAGCCCGTCGGCGCTCAACGGAGCTGAGCCGGACGTATTTTCGGACGCGGAGGGCGACACCAAACAACGTTCGCTGCAAGACGGCTTGCCCCTCCTCCTCCATGGGTGGGAATCGAGCCGGAACGAATCAGCCTCGGAGCTCTCCTCACCTCCGCCACCTTCGGCCAAGGAGCAGCTGCTACGCATGAAAAAGGGCGTGGGGCGGCTCCCGCAGCAGCAGCAGCAGCGGCAGCGGCGGCAGCAGCAGCAGCGGCTACACGTGTCGCTGCTGTTGCTCGCCAAGGGCGACGCGCGCCCGGACGCCGAGGCGGCTTCACCGATCGCCCTCGCTCCCACTGCCGCCACCGCCGCCACCACCTCCTCCTCACCTCCGTCTCCTTCGTCGCCACCGCCACCGGTGCCATCGCGCTCACCGGCGCCGTCGTCATCGTTGTCGCCACCCCCCGCCGCCAGGCCGGGTTCCTCTTCCAGACGGCTCGGCGGTGCCGGCGCAGGCAAACGTAGCCGGATTCCACGGCCCGTGACGCCAAGCGGGGATGGGGCGGCGGCGGCGGCAGGAGGAGGGGGGGGGTCTGCGTCGCTGTCGCTGTCATCGTCGCGAGCGCCGTCGTCACCGCGTGCGTTCGTGCCGCGCCCGCCTCCCGGGCGCCCGCCGGCCCGACCAGCCCTGGAGTCACGGTGAGCGATGGGCAAACCTCCACCGAGTGCGTGCGTGCGTGCGTGGGGTAAGTTGGCACATTAGGGGGCACAGCTGGTGCATCTGCCAGTCATCTCAGTCAACCCATGATGCCTGGGTCTGTCCCGTGACCTCCTGTAAGCGAGCATTCGACACTTCACGTGGCCTCAAAGTGCACCTGGCCAGGCACACACGCCATGGTGATGTCACCGTCACTTAGTGGCGAATGGCGAGTATTGGTATCGGTGGGGTAAGTGGCTGGCTGGTGTGGTGCCATCTGCTGAGGAGGTGCGGAGAAAGATCCTGGAGCCTGAGACTGGATAATGCGCCTCCCAAGGCGATTGTGTGCAGCCTGCACTACACGGTATCATCCCACACCTCCGATTAGCACAGTTGACTAAGTACGGTGTGAAAAAAGCTCAACGTACATACGTACATCCCAACCTCCAAGACCACAGGACAGGTTCTGCAGTGTTGTAAGGATGCCCAGTTGGTCCCCCTTTCTTAAGAAGTGTAACTGTACCGATTATATTGTATACTCGTGAATATCTTTCCACTGTGTGCTGAAAATGTCCTGGCTAGAATTATTCAACATTGCTTTGCCAGGCACACTGAGAAGGAGTTTGCAGAGCCCCAATCTGGTTTCAGGCTTGCACGGAAGTTACTGTCTCTGTCGGTCTGCTACAGCAGAGGTATAGGGAATTGTGTGGATGTGTCCTTAGTGCACTGCACTACGATCCCAAAGACACGATTCCCGATTTCAGCCAACGTCGGTGACGGACACCTTAAGCAGTGTGGAGTCAGTCTCCCCTGGATTGACTTGGCCTTTAATGAGCACGTTAAAGGCCACCTGCACCCTTGCATGCCTTGCCGACAATAATAGGTGCTCGCCAACAGTACTTACCCCCCAAGAATCGGTTATATCTTTGCCTTGGTTGTGTGCGCGCAAAACAGGCTGCGCCGCTACAAGCTGCCACCCTCCAGGCTGGACACACGTCACCACGCGGAGCCACACTCCGACTCCCTCGCGCCGGGCCGCCCCTCCCGCTCGCCCTCGCATGGCGCCCTCTCCTCCTCGTCGCCTCCCTCCTCCTCCTCCCGCCCGGCCAGGGCTCCAACGTCCTCGGCAGCACCAACCGCCGCCGCAACAACAACCACCGCCACGCAGCGAGGTACCGGCACGGCCTCCCAGGCCCGGCCTGGCTCCTCCGCCAACATATCCGGTTCCGCTCGCAGACCCTCCGCACGGGCCAGCGTGTCCTCTAAGGGAAGCACTGCTACCGCCACGTCTGCCAGCACCGCCGGGCGGTTTGGCTCGGCCGGTCAGCCGCTCGTCGCCGGCGGAGGAATCGTCGGGCAGAGGGCGGCGACGGCCGCTGTTAGGGACGGGAGGCCCAAGCGCAGCAGTAAGCTGAGCAGATAGCCCGGCGGCCTGGCGCCCGTAAGCTCCGCTTGCCTCGCGAGAACTGCTAACTTCCAAGGTCACGTGTGCATACGCGTGGGTCTTGAGTGTGTCTTGTGAGCGTGTCTGTGTATGTGTGTGCGAGTGAGGAGCTACTGCGTAGCGGTTTGCGCAGTGCGCTTCAATCCCAGCGACTAATTCAACCAGAAGAAAGCATTTGCACGCAGTGAAAACCTGATGCAAGGTTTGACAATTTGCACAGCATTAAGGGTAAGGAGGAGTGTTGAGAGGTCGACATTGGTTGATGCCAATGTTTGGGTTTAGAAACGGACTTCGTTCACCTTAATTTACGCTGCAGATGTGATGAGCGTTGGTCGCCAGTACGCGCGTATGTGTATATAGGCGTGCGGTAGCGCTGAGCGATACCTGCGGGTGTCGGAGACGATGCCCACGACACCGGAACTGACGACGCTCGTCGCTGATGCGGTGGCGGGAGAGCACCGTTGGCGTGACCGCGAAACCGAACAACGACCAGTCAAGTGGCGCTGCAGAGCGCTCGACTCATCGCATGGTTCAAGAGTTCAACTCCCAGTTCCACTATCGTTGCTATCACTTCAACATTGATAAAATGAGCACCGCTCGCTTGAGCAGGGAATTATCATTTAATTCCCATGGTATTGCTGAGGAAAAGTAATTTGATTGATATTGCGCAATTTTTTTTAATGCGTTTGTGTACAATTGCCCAGTATCTTTGTGCTTGGCAATTCTCAGATATTGCTTGCTAAGCGATACCCAAGATGGCCTTCGGTACATGTGCATATCGCAGTGTCCCTTACGTTCCGGCATTGTGATTGCCTGTATCGCTCGGCACTACTTAACGTGATGGCGCACGCACACATGCATGAGTGTGCGCGTGTAGACACGTGCCCATTTGCACGCACGGACACACACAGGGTTGCAAGTCGGCTGGCATGTGTGCATGTACACAGTACGCATAAGTAGCACCTACAGGCAGTTTGCAGGACACCGTAACCTCTCTGTGGCCACTCGGATCGCGATTCGCAGCCCATCGTTGAGTGCGTCACCCCATGCACCGCGCGTGTGCGCAGACAGCGACGTGTGCGTCTGCATCCCAGAGGTAGGCCTCACATCTGCACGCATCACGGCAGTGTGGCGACCGTGCGTCTAACGCCCTCTCGTATTTACGTGTCGGTAATTTTCGTCGCAGCAAATCTGCAAGTTTGTACTCTTCTGGAATTCGTTGACATTTTAATCGCAAGGCTGAGAAGCAAAAGTTGGGATGAACTGAAACGCGGTTCTGTGAATTTAACCGCACCCTTAGCCCCCTGTTGTAGGTAGTGTGCAGAATGAGAGTGCATTGCTGATGTTCCAAATGGGCGCCACGGTGGCTTGGAGATGTTAACTACCTCGCCTGGTATACAGGAGGTCGTGGGTTTGATCTCGACTCTGATGCCTGTATATTTGGCGTTTGCATGTTTCTCTCCCCATGGTCGCCTGGATATTTCTCTGGGCCCCTCCGGTTCTTCCCTTCCACGTTTATAAACATACGTTTAGAGTTGTTGGCTGCTGTAAATTTGCACACGATAAGCCACTTAGTTGAGCTGTCATGTGTGGCCAGGTCGCTTCTAAAAAAAAGAGTTGTATAGCTCAGTGGGCCTTACCTGATTTTAGAACCCTAAGCAAACTCATAAAAGCCACGAGCGCATGCTTTATTTAGGTCGGCCACACGGTGAGGCGGCTGTGAGTTGAGTGAATTTGCGATTCGACGTTAAAATCGCTCTCGTGGTTTTTTGGGCGGCCGATATGGTTGCCCGTGAAAACGTTCACGTCGACCGACATGGACGCACATTGAAGCGACAAAATGGCATTACGTATATTTCACCAGGGTCTGCATTGGCATCGGTGTACAAGCACAAACTCCCGAAAACTCGCCAAATTTTGCCGTTGACACTTTCTTAGAAAACGTTAAAGAGTGGTCATTGTGCACGGCTATGGCGTTGCTCTATGCTTTGTCTGTTTCAAGGCGGTGATAACGATTGGGTTTCGTGTTTTATGATTGTCCAGCGCATTTTATTTGCCGCTCATCTCCATTGGTAGTTCTGGGTCAGCGGTTTGTAAATTCCACTTTCCCATGGCGGAAGCGGTTTCTCCAGCACAACTGCCCATTGATGTCTCACAAAGCGAAAACTTATTTTATTCCACCACGGAGGATATGGCAATCGTGGGGCTGAATCTACCTACCCTCAACATGGGATTTTAATTTACAACACATGCACCTGCATGCACACGACTAACGTTTTAAATATTTTAGAAAACAAGACGTGACAATCATTCCCCGATTGCTAGCGAATAAAAAAAACGGTGGGCTGACGTTGACCGTGCACGATAACAACACGCGACATTGCCCCCGTGAGTGGCCAGCCCCGGAGTTACACCATCGGAGCTGTTTCAGCAGCAGCAGCAGCAGCTGTTGTTATTGATTGAAAGAAGAGAGCTGCTTGAGTTGAATGATCAGGACGGGACAAAAAATGAGTCATCTTTGTAATTGTTTTGTCGTAAGCACTTTGATGACGAAGGTTTCGAAGGAGTCGAGCAAAAACATCTTTACCGTTGCGGTGCATTCTGGAGTCGGTGAGATGCTACGAATGGTCCTGCCATATGTACACGAGATGCAGGTTGATGGAGCGACGGTGAGGTTGTGGTGAAGTGAGTAGCATTGGCCGTAGCGTACAAATGTGAAATGAAACTCGATCACGGATCATTCACGTGGGGCAGAAGCAGTGTCCATTCCATGTGGCAGAGGCCTTGTATTTGAAAGATATCTGAGCCAAGTTATTTTGGGGATGAGGCTTAGAGTCGTGTCTCTGGATATCCGGGCTTGCCTCTGGAACTAAATCAATGCAAGAAACCAATTTTCATGTTCATCTGGGTACCAGTTCTTCAGCTGAGATGAAATTTCCAGTGAGCCCTCGAGTCATTCGAAGCATGGCTAAGAACCATTCGGCTGGGAAGGACGAGGAAGAGTTTATAGGGTGAGTGTTTGGAGGGTGACTTTTGAAAAGTTAACAATCCCTGATTACATATTATTCCAGCGTATATAAGTAATATAACAATCCCACATTTTTGCTCTAAATGAAACAACATTTTATTGCCTATATAATAAAAAAAATTCAAGTTCTTCAAGTTAAAACCTTGTGCTAAGTTAATTTAACATTCTAGATTTGAAGATTTCGTGACTGCAAGGATCCATACTCTTTGGTTCTATTCGGTAAAGTCATGTAGGTAAAAATAAAATAACAAAAAAATAAAAAAAAATCACGACGTTTCGGCCACAACACAAGTGGCCTTCATCAGGTGAAGGGACTGGACTGTCCAAGCTGTGCGCCGCTATTTGTGTGTTCTCTGCTGCTTTCCTCGCATTAACCCAAGTTGCCGACACGGTCGTTTCCCAACTTTCATTGAGTTGGAATCACCTTTGGATTTTTTTTCTAAATGGAAGTAAATCACAAATGCTAAATAACAGTATTCTGGTTACATCTGAGAGTGACATTAATGACCAGGGCATTGCTCATAACCTTTATTAATGTGACCGCTGGTCGTCCACACAGGAGGGAGCAGCACGTGTTCCACTCGGCCTGGCACATGAGAGCAATGTTCACTGCCCGACGGTGAAACGAATTATTTTCTGAGCTGATAATTTAGCCAGATCAAGTGCCGTACCAAATTTGTGCCGTCATTTGTTCCGTCAATTATTGACCAGGCTGAGACCGTTGACTCCTCTATACCTGATTATCCGCTTTCATCGCGGGCGACTTCTAAGCAACCATGTTTCATAAATTACAACTCGATAGCCATCGATTCTGCCAACCGTTGTGCCGAATCCCGCGGCGCGTGTTCTCATGTTGTGGCAGATTTGGGTAAAAAAAAAAAAATCGCCAGATATGAATTGTCGCCATGGAGCAATCGTCATCGCCGAACTTACCACGTACAGCGCCGCGATGCGCCAGCGGGTTGAGAAAGACGTTCGCTTGCTCGGCACGACGTCCGACGTTTCCCCTCTGCACGCCGACAGCTTCTTCAGGAAGTGAATTGTACAAGAAAACGCGTCGGAGAACGGTACCGCGAAAACCTGCGCAGCGGTAGAACCCACTCGACAGTGACCACTTGTGGTCGTCTCCTCCGACGTGACGTAGTCTGCGCCGATGCAGTAGAAGCCAAAGCGCGTCGTCCCTCGTTCGCTCTCATCTTCTCTTTAGCCAGCTCAGCCAGGTGCCCGAGATTTGCAGCCAAGTGTGGTTTTGGTTTTATTAAGGCAACGTTTACATTGTTTTTGCCGCCTCTTTTTCGGTTTTGTTTTTGTTTTAATTAAAAGTTTAGTGCAAATGCAACCGGTTTTAAGAAGTTGTGAATATTTAAGAGGTCAGAGTCACGGAGTTAATTTTTTTCATATGGTGGTCACGGACACGCTCCGGCTCGGATAAAATTGTGGAGCTTGGTGTTGACCACCCAGATGAAAGCCAAATTTAACCCAATTACTAAAATCTGGTCTTACCAGGTTAGAACTTGGGCCTGCACGTGTTCCTTTTACAAGTTCAACCTGGTCACGATGGCCATACAAGCGGTGATGCTTAATAGTTTGAAACACCCAAGTACAGCTGCTTGGATGAGTGAATGCTCCAGATGTGGAAACCTTAGCTGATAAATTCACCGCTGTGAGTTAAAGGTAACTGCGAATTTGTGTAAAAAAAACTCTCGCACGAGCAAGGTCATGGGCCCCCGTGTACGCGAGATGATGCAAAACGGCTCGAGCGAAATCGTTCACAGCAACATTTTTTGGGACGATGCAATTCGTGGTGGTGCGGCGGTCGGGTTAGAGCGTGCGACGGTGGACCAGTGGTTCTCAACGCTCCAGTTCGACAATGCAGTGGCGGAGGGGTTGAGTGAAGCCAGGGATTTGTTTTGTGAAATCGGTGGGGCCGTGCTGGTTGATGTCCTCTCGCGAGTAAAGGGCTGGTGGTGGCGCGAGTTTAACAGTTTCTGTTGTCGAAGTTTAAACTCGTTGGTGTTGAATGTTCATTTGCTTTTCCGTCCATGGAAGCCTGCAATTGTGTATATTTATTTACAGCATTTATTTACCTTCCCTCGTGTACATAATGTGTATACGTTAATTTATTACGTCGATTTTTATATATATGCACGTCGGTAAGTGGACCAGTGCCCGCTGCTCGCTAAGCACGCGTCCGTCAACCACTCGGGCCAAAGAGGGCAACGCCGTTCCACCACTCCGCTTCGCTTTCATGAACGAGCGCCCGTTAACTCGGCCGGTGCCGTGTTAAGAGCGCTCGGTTCGCATTCCGGAGGGTCAAAAGTTCAAATTCCGTTCTGGAGTCGACTCGGGCAGAGGTCAGCAACCAAAATAACAAGGATAGCCATTTTTTTCAAATTCGGTAAAAAAAATATATATATATATTTGAAGAGCTGCGGTGCACGTGAATTACGAGGTGGTGGCCCTTAATAAATAACGTCATGAAGTAGTGCTTAAAGAGCCGCATGCAGCTCCAGAGCCGCGGGTTGCCAAGCCCTGCTCTCGGGTGTCGGAAATTGAGTACTGATTTGAGTGAAGTCAGCATTGGTCTTGCTTTGGATAAACTGGTCCTCATCATGGGAATGTGAAATTTTCACCACTGCTTAGGGTTGACAAAGGAGACGAGCTCTTATTTCAGCAGAGAGCCTCTGAATCTCTAGAACAGGAATACGCCCATTGAGACCCATCATTATATTTTGGACCCTTAGTTAACCGAACGTTAGGCAACCCAGAATCAGTGGAGGAAATTCTGCATTCCCATGGCAGCAACAGTCCTCTGTGGGAAGTCAACAAGTCGTTGTCCTTTGCAAAGTGGTGTGACTTTATCAACCCCGGTGGGATGATGGGCCGAGTCATTCCCCAATTGAGATTTTTAACTCGCGACCCGAGGCATCGCGACCTGAGTGTCCGTGTGCTGTGGTCACCACGAATAATCGACTCTCAACGCGCGGATAATCCGTGCGCACGCGCGCGCGAGTGTCGTGAGCGTAGCCAACCGGGTTTGGTCGACGTCACGTTACGTGCAGTCGCACTGCGCCCTCCGCGATGCGAAGGGCGGAATGACACGATCCTTCGTCGCTCGAGAGAGAGAAGAGATACAGCGTTGCCCCCTGGTTTGTTTAGCGTGCGGTGAGGAGAGGAGGGGAGGGGGGGTAGTTGTTTGCTGCTGCAATTCGCGACTGTGCCCCGATTCAGCCGCCGCTCTGAGCCATTCTAATGTCCGTTGCCTTACCTTCCAACGTGGCCACACACACACAGGCAAGCCACATGCGCACGTGCACACAGACACACACGCCCGCGTACTTCCGCGCATACACGAAAGACAAAGATCCCCCCGTATAGACTTTAACAGACTGCTGGGGAAAGTGCTGTTAGTGAGCACCTACGAAGGTGGCACGGCACGTGAAGGGGAAGATGGGCAGCACCACGCCCGGTCGCCTTTGTCTTCCCAGTGGCGATGTTTACACACCGCACCAGGTACTTGTTTAAGGCTGAGTCGACCTCGGAGAGGCCCAGGACCGGTTCGGATAATCGTCGCTGACGTTGGCCATTAGCAGAAGCGCGCCACGAACACACGAGACACACGCGCACACAAGACACACGCACATGCATTTCTCACTTGTATCGTGTAATTCCATACGTGGTGGTTTAATTGGAACAAAATATGATTGCTTGATTACTCGTCTGATTACTTAATTTTGTACTGGAGAAATCCATGTTTGAAAACGCACAGGCCAACAAAAATTTATAACTTAAATGGACTGGCTTTGCCTAGCCCGCAACGCCACTCCTGTATATAACTGCATTAAAGTACACGTCTTGACAACGCTGAGCTCGCTGGGCAATGGAAACCCTATTCTCTCAACACACATGGCTCGACTCAACAGGCTCGGTGAAGTGGGCTGGCGTGTCTGGCTTGCGATGCTATGAAACGGATTTAAACTACAAGCCTATGACACTTTACCTGGCCGACCCACACACTTTATATTAACGCTGTTGTTGCGGCCTTCTTTAAAATATGGGCCGCTTGCAGAGAATCCTCATGGCTTGCCGAACTCGTAATGTTACCACAGACTGTTTTAAGGTTCAGCTGTAAATGCAATACATGATATACCTGTGTACGCTAAAGGGACTGCCTTGCCTATGAAACACTCCATTACACCAACAACTGCTTTAAATTATGCCTGTACTGTATATACACAAGTCGTGTTGGGTGGCTTGCCTCGCTTGTAATGTATGTCGCTTTGAAGTGCTTTATGACTGTGACCTTTACGACCTTTTTGAGACGTTTGGACGAGATAGGTTTCGTTTTGCCAGCAAGGATTCAACGTTTGGCAAACCTGCTCGCTGAAAGACTGACCTGTGCCCTGGCTCGTATCTCTCTCTCTCTCCCGCTTGATACCCGTGTATAGACGCGTTTAAGAAGATTATAAACAAAAACTAAAAAGCTGCGAACACACCTCCTAGGCAACGTACCGTTGTTGTTAACATGAGTATTATAACAGTTGGGAGTGAATTATTTTAATTGTAAAAGAGTGGCCCTTTGTCTAACCTCCCCCCGCCGCTTCCATCAATGAAGTATCTTGGCCATGTGTAAAGGCGCAGAGTTCCTCGATTGAGTTTTTATTTTTGTACGCTGTGCGTGCGTTCGTGGGACCGATAACTTAATTTATTTTATTCTGGCGCTTATTGTAAACACTTGAAGCACTGCAAAAAGGGCATCGGTCGGAACCAATCCCATTGCGTTCTGCCGCTGGAGCGACCAACATTCCCTTTCGAGGAGATCCGTGTAGCAAGCTCGCCAACCTTGGCCGCGTCTCAACCCGGCAGGTACTGCTTGCAAGCTCCATGGGGAGCGAAATGGCGTTCGAGTTCAGCGTTCTTCATTGCAAAGCTCCTGGTGGGCTTTAGTGCTGTCAAATCCCCAGTGGTTTTAAATGTGGCGGCAGGGGCGGAGCCAGGATTTTCAGCCCCGGGGTGACATTCAACAAATTTTAATTTCAAGAATGATTAGAGAGTCAGGCTGTTGAACTAGACGCCATCGGTTGGCGACACACTCTGACAATGCAGTTGCACGGAGTTCGCCAGACCGAGTGTCGTACACTTACACGCAGAATGTCACCCCCCCTGGCTCCACCCCTGGGTGGCGGCCCTCACACTGATGATGCCTTATTGGCAAAAAGTACCGCCCCCCTCTGAAAATGTGAACACTGCTTTAACAGATCTCTCTTGGTGAATGCTGGTCACTGCAAATACATCTCTGTGAAGGAGAATTACCATCGCTGCAACAGGCATCTGTTGAAAGTGATGAGCCAAGCACTTGTGTAAATACTTGTGGGGTTTTTGGACCCCCCCCATGTCAATGCATGTGCCTCCCCCCCCCTGTCCGTCAGTGGCACATCAAGACTCGAGGTTTGTGTTTAAAGCAGAGAGATCTCATCACAGATCACGACTGTTCACGTCTCAAACTCTGCCTTGTGCATCCCCAACCGCACTACAGCTGGTTGTCTTCGCAGGTTGGCGACGTATTTCGTCAAACAGCCGTATGTTACTTTTTAAGTTAACGCTGTGTACAATTTTAAGTGTTAATTTAAGTTTGTTCATTTTTATTTTTTTAAAGTTCAATAAAGTCAGAGCATGGAAGGAAATTGTGGGCTTAAGTTTGTTTTATTCCACAGGCATTTATATGTACAGTTATATAATGAAGAAACCTAATATTCTCGGACATGAAAAACAACCTCTTGATGATGCAGGCTATATACGATTCGGGTGTTTTGACAAATATGGAACGGTGAGCAGAATGCAGGGCACTAGGCGGAGCCAGGTCTGGTGAGAATGGCTGTTAAAATTTCTGTTTTTACTCTTTACAAATGTCTCTGGATTTTTCAAGCTGTGCATCCATGTTTCAGTATCTTCTGGAAAAACAACAGTTGATCCACCACTAGGAAAGACAATTTACTCGACCCTAAACAATAAAATACTTTCAACTGAACAATCACCCTTCGTCATTCTTAGCACAATTCCTATGCCAGGTTATGCACGACCTTTTTTGATCGATCCAGTTACACTCAGGGGACACCAGGACAGGGTAAGATTGGTCCGAATCCGCGACGCGAGGGGAAAAGAGCGGAAAGGGCACAGCATCTCAGAACCTGGGTGCTCCGAAATCATCTGGCATGCGCTCGATGTTGTACCTGGGCAGAGGTGGGGGAGGGACAGGGAGGGTGAAAGGGAGTGGATAATGAGGATCAAGGCTTGCAGGTGCAAACAATTCAGCAGCTTCCTGTGTGCAAAGTCAACGGCAACACAGCAACTTGCTCTCTGTCCCAACGTCTCGAATGTCACTTCCGCTCACCCTGAGCAGGTGCGGTGACCCTAAAGGGGGGGGTTACGCGTGACCTGCAGAGTGTGCACAGAGCCCAATAAGCTGGGTGGTGACCAGTGTGGCAGCGTCGCCACTGCTGAGAGGTCAGAACGGCACAACGTTTCGGTGAGTGTCCATGTGCGGGGTTGTGTGTGTGTACATGTATAGTGGGGGGTTGTGTGTGTGTACATGTATAGTGGGGGGTTGTGTGTGTACATGTATAGTGGGGGGTTGTGTGTGTGTACATGTATAGTGGGGGGTTGTGTGTGTGTACATGTATAGTGGGGGTTGTGTGTGTGTACATGTATAGTGGGGGGTTGTGTGTGTACATGTATAGTGGGGGGTTGTGTGTGTGTACATGTTTAGTGGGGGTTGTGTGTGTGTACATGTATAGTGGGGGGTTGTGTGTGTGTGTGCGTGTAGTGGTGGTGTGCACACTGCATGCGCTGTCACTCACCGGTGGTTGGAGACGTACATGATGGGGACGCCAGGGATTTTGCGGACTCGCCTCTTCAGTTCACGGTCGACTGTTGCCACGATGTAGCACTTGTGCTGCAGAGAGACAGAGACACGTGCAGACACAAACGCCTCACACATTCGTATCCAGCAGCAGCACCACCACCACGCAGTGTAGCAAAGAATCTGCACAACCATCGCATCGCTATCACAACTCCAGCATCTACAATGCGGCACGCTGGATCGCGCAGATCTGTGAAACGCCCTCGCCTGCTGGGCTGCAAGCTGGCCAAAAGGTGGCAGTGCAGCAAATGGAACGTTCATTTCGGGGAAAGGAGGATAGAGGTTTTTTTTTGGGTTGGATCGCGTAAATATATAAATGTGTCGTTAAAACCCGCCACCCCCCGACACAGCCAACCAGTAAGAGTTGTCACGTAAACAGAACGTGGCCAATTCGTCACTAGTACAGCACACCGGTGTGTTGGAGAGCAAAGCCACAACACATTTACAATCTGGGTACTCAGATTGGGGTACTCAGATTGTAAATGTTGTGGCTTGGCTCTCCAACACACCGATGTGCTGTAATAGTGACGAATTGGCATCAATTCAAAGACACAGTGAGGAAAATATTGCACCAAGAAGAAGACTTGATTGCAGGCAATGATGAGGAGAAAACTGGCACGATTTGGACCACATATGTAAGGTGGACAACAGGAAAATGAAAAGTGTGTTTGGAAAAAATGGAAGGAACCGGACAAAAGAGCAAGTCCTAACAGAAAATGAATGGCTTAACGACATAAGAGATTGGTGCCAGAAAGATGTGGCACTGCGTGAGCATATTCACACAAGACAGAGGAAAGTGTATACAAATAACGAAATGTGCAGTGGACACCTCCGAACTAGCTGCCCATGGATCGTGATGATGAGATACTCATTTGGAAGAGCAGAGAAAGTTCTCTAGCCTGGACTGAACTGAGGCTGGTGGCAGTCGACAGCACGGCTGTACTCCTGACCCTTATGCACCCCTAAATACCTCTGATGATGCTCTTTGCACTCTCATGTCCCCTATGAACCCTTTTAAATCTCTGCGTACCTATAATCCTATTTAACCGTGTGTTCCCAATTAACCTGCATCCCCAATGTACCCATGTCGCCTGCGTATGTGAAAATAAATACACCTGTGACCCCTATATCCTCCTGTAAAAAAAACCTAGGTGACCCCTATGTATGCCCTGTGTACTCTGTGTATCCCCTTGCATGTCTACAAGCACGCATGCCCGTGTGTACCTGTGTGACTCTCTGCACGAGGCAGTCGTCTGCGTAGGTGCCCTTGTGTGAGCAGGGCAGCCGCTCGAAGCGAGGATCCTTAGCGATCCTGCACACACGCACATACAGAATGGTGCACGCACATAAGCACACGCACATGAGCACGCACCGCGGACACGTATGGACCAACAATTGCCGTTCACCACTAAGTGGCGGTGATGTCACCATGGCACTGGTGTCATGCTAGGTGCACTTTGAGGCTACATGAAGTGTTGAAGGCCCGCCGGGAGGTCACGGAACAGACCCAGGTGATAAGCCACTTTGTTGAACCATTATTTGTGGCCAGGTCGCTTTTGAAAAATAAGTGAATACCTCTGGGCTTTATCTTGCAAGATGAAAATTGATGTTTTCTTTGTATATTTTGAAGTGATTGGTTTACTTTTCCTATACTTTGCACTATCACGTTTTTGTATTGTCTGGTGTAACGTTTCTTAACCACCCCTACTGGACATCTATGAAAAAGAGCTTTGTAGCTCATCGCATTCCTCTAGTATAAATATTCTAATTGACCACACACTGATGCATGTGCACTCATGCAGAGGCACCGTGCACATGTACAGCTATGCACACACGCACACAGGAATCAAACTCACGTCGCTGGGTTCGTTCCTCAACGCTATGTGGCCCCACTGCACCGTGCGAGTGTATTGAGGTGTGTGCGAGTCGGGAGCTCGACCCACCTGAGCGCCACTCTGTACTTGAGTCCCAGCATCTCCAGCTCGGCCATGACACAGTCGGTGATGCAAGGAACACCTGCCAAGTCCAAGCAAAATGCACACGTGTAAAACCATATGCACCAGCACTGAACACACAGCTCCCAATTAGCCAAATCATACTGTTAGGGCAAGTGCTGTTCGCGAGCACCTTTGAGGGTTGGCATGGCATACTCGGGAGTGGGTGGCCAGCACCACGCCCCCGGCCGCCTTTTTCTCCCAAGTGGTGATGTTTATACACTGCACCAGGTACCCATTTGAAGCCAAGTCAACCTATGGGAGGCCCAGGACCGGTTCAGATAATCATTACTGGTGTTGGTCTTGAGCGGGAATCCAACTTAGGCTGCCAGGTTCATAACACAGCATGCATGCTAAACACGACACTTGTGCGCATTTACACACACACACACACGCGCACTCAACCTGCGGAGGTCCAGGACTGATTCAGATGTCACTTTCCACTGATATAAACCGGAATCAAAACGCAGGTCATCGGAAATTGTCGCGCAGTGCCAAAACCACTACACCACAACCACTAAACACACAAACCACGTGCGCACAAACTCGCACGCAAGACACCCACACGCAAACACAAGGTGTCGTACACTTGGCGTAGAGGCAGTCCATCATGGACTGCATGACGTCGAGCTTGGCTTTGATGGAGAAGTTGATGAAGTTGGTGTCGACGAGTACATAGTAGGGGGGACCCAGCTGGGTGTTGTACTGGAAGAACAGACACGACGGGTACTGGGGCCTGCAGTCCAGACCCAGGAGGGACATGGTGTGAGACAATTTCCAATACCACGGTCGGCCCCAAGGACGGTAAATACAACTTAATCATCTCCTTGCGTCCAACAGCTCGCAGGGTGAACGGGGGACAAAGGTCGACTCACGCGTCCACCTCCTTAATGGCGTTCAGGTCCTTCTTCTTTTTGATCTCCTTCGGCTTCACCCGGTCTTTAGCTTTCCTGCAGAAAAGTGACAAAAAACGTCATCGGACCTCTCTTGCGAGTATCACAATATAATAGGTTTTACTCTTTCTGGCAATAAAACACAAAATAGATACATGTTGCAAGGAATCATGTTACTGCATTAACCACACATGGTAGTTGTGGTGGATATGCAAACAAAAACATGCTCTGGTAGTATATGATGCATTGTCTTTGAAACTGATTGGTCCACACCAGAGACAGCTATCCTCTGGTCTAAACAGTGTTAGACCAGAGGATGCCAAAAGGCGACAAGGACAATACCCTCATAGTGCATGGTCTTTGTGCTGTTCGCCTTTTGGCGTCCTCTGGACTAACACTGTTTGAGACTAGGCTCTAAAGAAAGCTGTCTCTGGTGTGGACAATGCATACACCATCAGAGCATGTGTTTTTTGTTTGCATGTTCACCACAAGTATATGTGGTTAATGCAGCCATGATTCCTTGCAAAAGGTTTAAATTTGGTGGTTTAACATCTTAACAACTCCTGTTTTATCGCCAGAAAGGGTAAAAACAATTATTGACAAGCGTGCATACAAGGATCGCGGTCTCCCGTGTAGCCTACATGGACTGTTGGCCCGAGTTTAAGCTCAATTGGTTTGTTACACCAAGGGTTCGGCAACTAAAAACTACCAAGAAGAGCCATGTTTTTTCGATTTTGCAATGCACTGTGGTGGTGAATACGAGACGGCGGTTCTGAATCAACGTCACGAAGCGGTCATTCAAGCGCCGCATGCGGCTCCAGCCGCAGGTTAGAGACCTCCTGCGTTACACGCATGATCGTGTTTATGGGCATTTTTAAAAATTACATGCGATTTAAATGTCATTTAATGAGTAATATGTAAACTACACGGTGTAGTTAACTGGTCATTTTACTCTAAATTACATGACTTTGGTGATGGGTTATTTGCATCTACTGTATTTTGCCGATATCTTAAAACGAAACAATTTAAACCAGGTAAGGCCCACTGAGCTATGTGGCTTTTTCAGAAGCGATCTGGCCACCAAAGTGGTTTATCACGTGGAAATGTATTGCAGCCAAATACTCTAAAATGCACGTTGATTTGAAATGTGGAGGGAAAACCCGGAGGGCCCCGGGAAAAATCCACGCGACCACGGGCAGAGATACACGCAAACTCCAAATATACAGCAGGCGTGAGGGTCGGGATCGAACCCACGACCTCCTTGCATAATACAGGGCGAGGGAGATAACATCTCGCCACGTCTAACAGAGTTTTAATCGAGAAGAGGTTCAGCAAGGCGAACCGATGCAGCAAGGCTACTGCCAAGCGAGAGGCGCTTGTCTACTTGACCACGTACAGGCGCTCGTCCCGCAGGCTGATCATGCGCTTCATCGTCGCGAACTTCTTAGTCTTCTTAGCCTTGCCCTGGGAACGGTGACAGACAACAGCAGCGGGTGAGCAACGTTACGCCAAACGCGGGGTATGATAATCGTCACCCTGAACTCTCTCGCACCGCGTCGGCGTGTACCCCCGCCCCTCCACTCTCGAAACGAGCTAAAAAATGGGGGCGAGTCCACATTTCGGTGGAAGCCGCTTATTGCTTCCCGCAATTTATCGATTAAAATTGCAGGATATTTCGAGATGACAGCTTGGCGAGGCCCTGCATCCATCAGTGGATTGATCAAGGCTAAATGACACAGACTAGTCGGTGCTCTCAATCATTCACAACCGCAGTGGGAAGAGCGCCACCGCAATGGTTCAATGCGCCGCGCAGTGGCGAACGAGATCTGAAGCGGCCCCCCGCCCTGCCGTATTGATGACCGGCGTGGTGAAGTACGTCCAAACAAAACGGTCACGCGGCGTTCATTCAAGCGGCGGATAGAGCAAGCGGTCCGCGCGGACTGGGTCACCATTCTCCCTGCTGGCGGCGAGATCCACGTGCGACCACCTTCCCAGAGAGCCTCCGCCGCGACCTTTAACCCTCCACTTCCGGCTACTCCACTTCCGGCTTACAGCGGAAAGGGGTGGAGCACAGATCACGTGGGGCGCGGGATTTTACCGCCACCGATTCTGGAAGATGTCTTCCGGAAAGACAAATTCCGTGTTCGTTTGGTGTCATTCCTAACTTAGAAGATAGATTACGGAAGACTGATTTCTGGTTCAGTTTAGTTGACAATCCTAACTCAGAAGTTACCTTACGGAAGACGAATTCTCGTTCAGTTGATGGCATTCCTACCCCAGAAGATAGCTTCCGGAAGAGGAATTATTGTTCAGTTGGTCTCATTCGTAACTCAATAGATTACTTCCGGAAGACCAATTCTAGTTCAGTTCATCGCATTCCCAACTCAGAAGTTAACTTCCGAAAGACGAATTCTCGTTCAGTTGGTCGCATTCCTAACTCAGAAGCTATCTTCCGGAAGGCTGATTGTAGTCCGGTTGATCAAATTCCTAACGCGGAAGTTGTCTTCCGGACGACGGATTCTCGTTCAGTTAGTCGTATTCCTAACTCAGAAGAAATCTTCCGGAAGAGGAATTCCTGTTCAGTTCGTCATACTGTACAGTAGTCCATAATCTTAGCTCTTTCGGTAAAGTCACGTTGAAGGGAAACAATAAAATAAAAAAAATATATAAAACAATACAAATTTATCACGACATTTCGACTATAACACAAACGGTCGTCATCAGGTGTGAAAAGATTTTCATTGTTTTATATATATTTTATTATTTTATTGTTTCCCTTCAACGTAACTTTACCGAAAGAGCTAAGAATATGAATTACTGCAGTCACGAAAGCTTTAAATAAAAATTTGTACAGTAGTCCTCATTGAGACCGCCCCCCCCGCCACGTGATGTCAACAACCGATTGACCTTCGACCCGAGCGGGCGTGTCCCTCAATGACCAATCACGCGAGAGCCCGTTTCCCGGGCGCGACGCTCCTGACCAATCAGAGGCACCCCATGTGCGCCGTGGCGCCCCACCCCCCCCACCACTCCTCCACCACCACCCCTCCACCCTCCACCCACCACCACCTCCCCCCCCCCACCACCACCCCCACCTCCCCCCACCACCACCAACGGGAGGAGTGGCCGCGCAGCGCCGGGGCTCCGCGGGGAGTTCCTCGGAGTCCCCGAGTCTCAATCGAGTGGCACGCACCGCGCAGCCCTCGCGACCGCTGCGGCCGTCACATTGTGGACGCGCGTGCAGTAGCAGCAGTGGCTCGGTCGTTGCGCCCCGTGGGATGGTGAGCTAGCGGGCTAGTGGCGAGGCGGTGGGGCTGTAGTAGCATGCGAATGCATTGGAGGTGAGCCCAAAGCGACACGAGCGACGCGTTGACGTCCACACGCATCCACGTGCACGCACCTGCAATGCGGTCGCTGGTCTTGGGCAGCATTGGGAGATGACAAGTGAAAAGGCTGTTGATGTTTGCTGCTGCTGCTGTTGTTGTTGTTTGACGGGGCACAATGCGGTGGTGGTCGTGGTGGTGTAGAGGGGTTTCTCTCTGCAGCCCTTAACGACTGTGGGGACCGTCACTGCTTTCAATGACCGGTCGCCGGATGAATCGGGCCCAGCGTCTGTGCGCCTGCGATTCCGTATCTGAGAGTGGGTAACTAACTACACGTCTTTGAGAGCACTCTGTGAATCTGTGACATTCGTCTCAGTTAACCCGTTGACACACACACACACAATCTTATCTGCCCCCCCCCCCCTGGTCTGACAGGGAGCCTTTGACGTTTCACGTGGCCTCAAAGTAACGATGGTTATTCAGAACGTCCACTTTCTCAAAAGTCGCGCGTCTTCAAGCCCGAATAATTGGCACCTAGCCTGGCACTCTGGGGACGTCGCTTAGTGGCGAATGTACAATTAGCTAACGTTGTTGAATGTTTGTTCGTTAAACTTTGTTCGCACCGCAAGTAGCCAACCGTGCTAATCGGTGGTGCGGGGAGGGGGATAAACTAAACACACAAAAAGTGTTTTTTGTGTGTGTGTGTTTACTTGAATGTGACTTGCGTCTCTATGTGTGTGTATGTATGTTGTATCTGTTCAGTCAGATCATTATAATCGGGCAGCTTTGTTGGTGTGGTTGAGGTTGTCAGTGGCAGAGACTGAAGTGTTTCTCGCAAGTCGCCGGGCAAGTTAAGCGGTGACATTCACAGAGTCGGTCAAGGCAGTCAGGGACGTGGTCAGGCCGACATTCAAACAGGCAGATAGCCAGGCCGATTGGTTTGGTGGCTAAATAGTCAGCTGGATAGGCAAGTCGGGCAAGTGCTTGGTTGTCAATCTGGCAGTCACTCGGTGAACCAGAAATGCAACCAGGTCGTGAACCAGGTAGTCACCCACTGAGGCAACAGGCCATTTACTTCGTCACCCAAGTTGGCAGGGAGTCACCCAAGTTGGCAGGTAGTCACCCAAGTTGGCAGGAAGTCACCCAAGTTGGCAGGAAGTCACCCAAGTTGGTAGGAAGTCACCCAAGTTGGCAGGTAGTCACCCAAGTTGGCAGGAAGTCACCCAAGTTGGCAGGTAGTCACCCAAGTTGGCAGGAAGTCACCCAAGTTGGCAGGTAGTCACCCAAGTTGGCAGGAAATCACCCAAGTTGGCAGGTAGTCACCCAAGTTGGCAGGTAGTCACCCAAGTTGGCAGGAAGTCACCCAAGTTGGCAGGTAGGCACCCAAGTTGGCAGGTAGTCACCCAAGTTGGCAGGAAGTCACCCAAGTTGGTAGGTAGTCACCCAAGTTGGCAGGAAGTCACCCAAGTTGGCAGGTAGTCACCCAAGTTGGCAGGTAGTCACCCAAGTTGGCAGGTAGTCACCCAAGTTGGCAGGAAGTCACCCAAGTTGGCAGGAAGTCACCCAAGTTGGCAGGTAGTCACCCAAGTTGGCAGGTAGTCACCCAAGTTGGCAGGTAGTCACCCAAGTTGGCAGGAAGTCACCCAAGTTGGCAGGTAGTCACCCACTCGGGTGCTGCTGCTGGTCCACCGGCCTTCAAAGTTCAAGTGAGTGGTGCATCGTCCCTGCCAGGGGATGTTAAGCTCTTACTCTACCCCATTATGCATGTGTGTCTTTGTAAGTCTATGTGTGTGTGTGTGTAAGTCTATGTGTGTGTGTAAGTCGATTGATGGGGCAGTTGTGGAGAGAGTGGAGAGTTCCCATACCTGGGCAGTGTGCTTATGACCGGCTCCAGTTTAACAGCAGAGGTCTCACTCCGAATCAGTCGAGCGGCAATATCTTTTCATCGGTTGCGTAACGCTGTGTGGAAGCTACCTGGTCTGTCGCTCCACACTAAGCTTCAGGTCTTCTCGGCCACGGTCATTCCCTCCCTTCTCTACACTTGCGAAACGTGGACCCCCCTAATGGAACATCTTCGCCGGTTAGAAACATTTAGGCTGGCCTGCCTACGATCCATCCTGGGTTTAACCAGACTGGATTGTGTGAGGAGCTCACAAATCCTTGAAAGATCTGGGCAAGGTCCCATCGGTGAGCTCCTCCGGCGGGGAAGGCTGCGATGGCTGGGTCATGTAGCCTGCATGCCCAGCCACCGCATGCCGAAACAGCTTTTGTTCGGCCGGATCGAGGGGGCTAAGCGGGCGCGGCACAGGCTAGATAAGAGATGGAGTGATGTGGTACAGGAGGACGTGGAGCTGAGTGGACTTGCCGATGACTGGTACCAGCGGTGTCAAGATCGGCCTCTGTGGAGGAGGCTCGTGAAGGATGCTACTGGGCAGTTGGAGGCAGTCGCCCTCCAACAACGGAGGGCGGAGGAGTGACGCTCACAACAACGAGCGGAGCGCCGGGTGGCTAAAGCACAGCAGGTTGGCACAGTAGGGGGCACAGGTGGTGCATCAGCCAGTCATCTCAGTCAGTCGACCCGTGGCACCTGGGTCTGCCCCGTGACCTCCTGCCAGCGGTCGTTCGACACGTCACGTGGCCTCAGGGTGCACACAGCCTGGCACAAGCGTCATGGTGACGTCACCGCCACTTAGTGGCGAATGGCGGTTGTTGTAAGTCGATTTGTGTGTGTAACTACATGTGTGTGTGTGTCTAAAGTCGATATCTGTGTGTTTGAGTCCATATGTGTGTGTGTGCGCGTGTAAGTCGATGTGTTTCTATGTGTGTGGGTCGATGTCTGTGTGTAAGTCGATGTGTGTGTCTGTCTTTATCGCCCGTGCAACGCCGGGTACTTACCGCTAGTACATTATAACACGGATCGAGTTACGTTGGCGTGAGTCAATGTGTTCACACGTATACCAGCGAAGGTTCACTCCAGGCTAATAGAGCGAACTGAACCGTACAAACAAGGCAGGTAAAAATGAGAAGCAACGCAACTCCTTGTCTTAACCCCTATACCCACACTCCCTAGTCCCACACAATCCCCTCGTCTCACTCCTACACTCACACTCCAAGCCTCACACATTCATAAGTCTCACTCCTGTGCTCCTAGCCTCACACACTTTGTTAGTCTCACATTTTGTTAGTCTCACTCCTTCCCATACACTCATAGTATCTCACTGACACACACACTCCTAGTCTCACTGACACACACACACTCCCAGTCTCACACTGACACACTCCTAGTCTCACACTGACACACACTCCTAGTCTCACACTGACACACACTCCTAGTCTCACACTGACACACACTCCTAGTCTCACACTGACACACACTCCCAGTCTCACACTGACACACACTCCTAGTCTCACACTGACACACACTCCTAGTCTCACACTGACACACACTCCTAGTCTCACACTGACACACACTCCCAGTCTCACACTGACATACACTCCTAGTCTCACACTGACACACACTCTCAGTCTCACACTGACACACACTCCCAGTCTCACACTGACACACACTCCCAGTCTCACACTGACACACTCCCAGTCTCACACTGACACACACTTCCAGTCTCACACCGACACACACTCTCAGTCTCACACTGACACTCCCAGTCTCTCACTGACACACACTCCTAGTCTCACACTGACACACACTCCCAGTCTCACACTGACACACACTCCCAGTCTCACACTGACACACACACTCACTCCTGCACACTGACACACACTCCCAGTCTCACACTAACACACACTCCTAGTCTCACACTGACACACACTCCCAGTCTCACACTGACACACACCCCTAGTCTCACACTGACACACACACTCCTAGTCTCATACTGACACACACTCCCAGTCTCACACTGACACACACTCCTAGTCTCACACTGACACACACTCCCAGTCTCACACTGACACACACTCCTAGTCTCACACTGACACACACTCCTAGTCTCACACTGACACATACTCCTGCACACTGACACACACTCCTAGTCTCACACTGACACACACTCCCAGTCTCACACTGACACACACTCCTAGTCTCACACTGACACACACTCCCAGTCTCACACTGACACACACTCCCAGTCTCACACTGACACACACTCCCAGTCTCACACTGACACTCACTCCTGCACACTGACACACACTCCTAGTCTCACACTGACACACACTCCCAGTCTCACACTGACACACACTCCTAGTCTCACACTGACACACACTCCCAGTCTCACACTGACACACACTCCTAGTCTCACACTGACACACACTCCCAGTCTCACACTGACACACACTCCTAGTCTCACACTGACACACTCCTAGTCACACTGACACACACTCCTAGTCTCACACTGACACACACTCCCAGTCTCACACTGACACACACTCCCAGTCTCACACTGACACACACTCCTAGTCTCACACTGACACACACTCCTAGTCTCATACTGACACACACTCCCAGTCTCACACTGACACACACTCCCAGTCTCACACTGACACACACTCCCAGTCTCACACTGACACACACTCCCAGTCTCACACTGACACACACTCCTAGTCTCACACTGACACACACTCCTAGTCTCACACTGACACACACTCCCAGTCTCACACTGACACACACTCCTAGTCTCACACTGACACACACTCCCAGTCTCACACTGACACACACTCCTAGTCTCACACTGACACACACTCCTAGTCTCACACTGACACACACTCCTAGTCTCACACTGACACATACTCCTGCACACTGACACACACTCCTAGTCTCACACTGACACACACTCCCAGTCTCACACTGACACACACTCCTAGTCTCACACTGACACACACTCCCAGTCTCACACTGACACACACTCCCAGTCTCACACTGACACACACTCCCAGTCTCACACTGACACTCACTCCTGCACACTGACACACACTCCTAGTCTCACACTGACACACACTCCCAGTCTCACACTGACACACACTCCTAGTCTCACACTGACACACACTCCCAGTCTCACACTGACACACACTCCTAGTCTCACACTGACACACACTCCCAGTCTCACACTGACACACACTCCTAGTCTCACACTGACACACACTCCTAGTCACACTGACACACACTCCTAGTCTCACACTGACACACACTCCCAGTCTCACACTGACACACACTCCCAGTCTCACACTGACACACACTCCTAGTCTCACACTGACACACACACTCACTCCTGCACACTCTACCCCCCCGGCCCTCCTCGCGTCTTGCCCTTTCCGCTTTCACTTCTGCTCTGGGAGTTTTGCGGTGTGCCTCCTCCCCCGTGCTGTCCACCCCGCCAAACTTCCCGTCCGCCCGCGAGAGAGAGCCGTGGACACTTAACCGGCGACGCGTCCGCGATGTGGTCGCCCTCTGGTCCACAGCCTCTGGTCCATTCTCGCTGTGAGTTCACTCATCACGCGGTCGATTCACCGCCGCTCCGTCTCTCCCCGGCGAACGCCACCCTCTGCTATACGATGGCGAGAGTCTGCCCGCAAAGCAGCAACATCCTCACGATTTAAAACAAAAACTCGCTCGATTCGCTTCATGTTTGACCGCTGCGTTAATGTACAGCCCGTTGTTGTATTGCACTTCTATGTCCCCCCCCCCCAACCACCACCCCCTCTGCTCCTCACCGCCGTCTATCCTTCGCTGCCTTTCACCTGTCCCGGCACTCACCAGCGTGGTGAAGTATGGTCAAATGACACCGGTTAACGCGACACGGCGTGGAGAGGAGGTTGGGGGTCCCTTCTCCCCGCAGTGGCTTTCACAGCTGAGGCCAATGTGCACCACTTTGTCTGAAACGGCATACAATGTGTAAGTTACATGGTTGCTTAAATATAGTTTGCAGCCAGCGTGCATTTGTACCCCCCCCCACACACCCACACACCTCCGATTAGCAGGGTTGGCTACGTACGGTGCAAAAAAAGTTCGACGTACGTGCGTACATTTCGGTGTTTTGTTCGACGATTGTTCATCGTATTCATTTCAGACTTGGCTGTGGATTTTCCTTTGGAGCGGTGTTAAGCGAATTGGTAAATCCTCTTGGTGAATTGCGGCAGTAATTTGTTGGATCGGCGGAGGAAAAGTAAATGTTTAAAGCTGTTGTTGCTATGCGCTGCTTCGAATGTCCACGGGTGATTTGCCTCTGCTGCCGAAAAGTACAGAATAATTTTCATTCGCCCCGCTCGTTGTGTTAAGAATATCAGCAGCATTGTGAATAAGCTGACAATACGTCTCGTTCACATCACTGGCTCTCAACGTATAAATAAAACTTGTTTTTTTACACACATCTCATCGGTCACACGGCCTTACAGTCCCAGAAGGCAGTGTTGCTGATGGGATGTGTAAAAACACTATTGTATGTGGAAGGACTGCTATGGTACGTTCTCTCTGGATGAGAGAACGTACCCCATTCATTGACAATACAAACTGTGAATACGGTTCATGGGATTGGGCCATATCCATCGTTGTGCTATACTTTGCTGCGAAGTCTATGCTCCCCGCCGTTAACAACCCGGGCTGGCTAGTGTGGTGAAGAAATGTGGTCAAGTAGCTCTCAGAACCTGTATGGTGCGAGGAGAATCCCTCACATACTTGTACCCAGTGGGCCACACATCGCTGATTCAACTCAATGAAGTTGAAACCAGTTCATAAAGTCCTCCTTATTGTCTTCTTTGGTTCTTTCGGTAAAGTCACGTAGAATGAGAATAAAATAAATTGATAAAATAAATAAACAATAAAATTCTCACGGCGTTTCGGCCACAACACAAGCGGCCTTCATCAGGTGAAGGGACGAGACTGTCTGGAGGATGAATCCTTGCAGTCACGAAAGCTTTAAATCGAAATTCCTCCTTATTGAATAAACATGCGGTAATGTCAGAGTATTGTACTCCTCCATTTCTGTGACCTGGAGTCAATGGAGAAATATTTCACACTCACAAAAGATTGTATCCAGCAAATGTTTACGGCAAGTAAACAATGTCATCCGTAGGATGACCGCAGTTGACTTCCCGCAAAGTGGGGCTCGTCTCACTTCACCCTGCGGCGATGATACTGATGGTCAAACCCCAACAGACCAGTATTTGAACCCTTGATTTTCAGATTCAGGTGCCCTAACTTTGTTTTTCGGTTGACTGGCTAGTACTTTAAGTGTGTGAATCTTAGGGATTGTATGACATTGTTTGCTGGATCATGCCCCCCTGAGTGCCAGAGTGCTGAGTAAATTGTAGGGGTTTACTCCTAATTAATAATTCACGGGATGCAGTGCTTCTTTAGCCATCTGTTTTTCCTTGGACAGATGTAACTTGCGGTGAGCTCGCTTTGGTGTTAAACTGCCCCGGAGAGCATACTTGGTATTAAAGCTGTGGTCGGCAGCGTTCGCGGGATGTGTTGTTGATGTTTCACGTGAGTGGGGCTGCGGTGATGATGGTGTTTTCTTTCGTATGTCCAATGGAGAGTAACTGGATGCACATTATTTCTAAAGCAGGAGGTTGCGAGCAAAACATTCCGAATTGCGAGTCCAAAAATCCAGGCTGCGTGTTGACTCATTCATCATCATCATTGTCATCAATATTGCGTTGATAAAATGGGTTTCACTCTTCGTTACGATTATTTCCAAGGAAAAACTAGCTTCTGCCATGGGAACGTGGAATTATCACCACGGATTTAGGGCCACTGACGTGTTCTTGTCTTTTAGAAAGCAAATGCTTTGCAAAATATTGCTTTCGAATACCCATAGGCTCATGTTTTATTTGTATGTCTTACAACAGGCCTTTGCCTGTGACTTAGCTGCCTCTCTCACCCACCACTACATTTGGCTCTTCGATTTTTGTTAAGGTATGTTCCACGGAATGTCAGTTGTATGCGCTTACGACCGTTCACACTCACGACTGGACTTTTCCACGTTAAGCGTTGAACCCTGACGCACCGCATTTTTGTGCCCAGCTGACATCACCATCAACTCGATTGACTTGCAAACCCGGTTTAAGCACAGGCGACCCAGACCAGTGTTGCAAAACGCAGAAGCTTAGTTGTGCTGACTCAGTGCTTTGACACAGCCATTCTGAGGCTTGTCCACTTCACACAAATTCCGTAAATGAATAAATCAATAGATTCACTTGCGTGTAAATGAATACTTGATTTTTTTGGTATCTACGTGAGGGCTATGGCTACGAGTAAGCCCTGAGAGTCTCCGTGTTTATGAAGAAAGGTGTAGCTACATGTTCTCAGCGACATCAGTCAATCGAAACGATGGGCTGGTCTTGAACACCGTGCCCTTTTATCGCTGACCTGATGTCACCGTGCCTGCGGGGTGGGCTTGCTCGTAACTCGCGCCCTCATCACGAATGTCAGCATCGTTACGATTATTGGAAAAGTTCGGCATTAATATATTGATGAGTCGTCTTGTCATTAATGTCAACGTCTGCCTGCTCGCTCACACGAGCATTCGGCCGGCACTGCGTAGAAGGCCTTTGTTCATACAGTGCTTGACACTTAATACTTCAGCGCGGCGCATCGCGACCCGTGTGGTGTGCCGTGGCAAGTCCCAGGTGTGCTGCGGTATTATCCGAATTATAGGGAAGGAAAGAACCTCAAGCTCCCCCACCTCCCGACCTCCCCCTCTCCATTGGTCTCGGTGCAGTACGGCAGCAGACGGGGTCCACCAGCCCACACCCACAGCCCTCTCAACTCCCTTGGTCGTGCGTGCGCAGGTGGGCATACAGACACGACGCGGAGACACGACGCGGAGACGCGAAAATGCTGACACACACCGAGACACGGAGGCATATACAGATACACGGAGACGCACACGGACGCGAATGCACTCGCACAGTTGGGCAAATTCTTGACGCGGAATTTGCCAGGGCCACTTGATTTCATTGTTGCTCGGCGAGATTAGTATAAGCGAGGCATCGTGAATTCTCTCTCGGCTACAACGCATTCCCACTCGGCCCACCTGGGCCCACGGTGATGTTTTGGTTCGGTGTGCCGCGAAGATCACGCAAGCTCGAAAGTGTGAGCGGTGCCGTGGAATGAAAGAGGTTGAGAAGCACTGCCTTCATGTGCAATGACGAGTTACTGTAAAACAGCGAGGCTGTCGACAGCGACACCGCCTCATGACTCCTCTTCAGGTTTTTGCGATGCGAGGTGTCATTGGAGCTCAAATTTCTCTGCGCCTGGTAGCCAAGCGCCCGTTACCTCTCCAACCGGACGGGTGGTCTCTGTCCCAGGCTGGCGGGCATTCCCTGCGGCTGGCAGTGGTGTTCGAGGTGCGATCTTATCGTGGTTTACCGAGATCAGAGTCATCCACCCCAAGTCAATTGGGGTGAATCCCCCAATGGCTCGGTGCTGCCACATTAAGCCCCGGGCGTAATTTGACCAAAGGGCCACAATAAACCAAATGTGTTTCGTGTTACTTCGAGGAAACATTCACAAAAAAATATATAGAGGTGAAGTAAAGTTGATTTGTTTAATCAGGTGAGATCTCAACAGATCCGGATGGTCTTCTTTGCAAGAGTGACCTGTATTGTCTAAAACATAGAAACCAAAACATAGTAATGATTATCCATATAAAACACAACGTATAAATGCGCTTCAAAAGTGAGCGAGCGAGCGAATACCCTTGACCCGTTTAGTAATGTATTGTGCAACAGGCACCACGATGTCCATACTCGCATTCAGTGGCGTTGGTGGGCATAAGACCCATGTGACTCTTGTGAAATACAATCTTTTATCGGTTGGCCATTGAACAAAGACGATCACTGTATTGCTTTTCCTTCCGATATTACCTTATCCCTCGAGCTATGCACTTTTAAATCTAGATTTAAAACTAATTTATTTAGAGCTGATTTTTTTTGTTACGTTGTCCTCCCCCCGCACGTCCGATTAGCACGGTTATCTATATACGGTGCGAAAGAAGTTCAACTCACGGTTGGTTTAAGGTCATGGTATGGTCATCACGGCCAATGCTGTTATTGCTCACAATCTTCTTATTTGCTGCCATTGGTTTCCTGCTTTTGACAGATCCCGCAGTGGTTGCAAAGTTGATGTCTCGCCACCAGGAGGCTTCTGTCACAGTTTCATCACTAGCACTGTTTGGCTTGACATCTTCCGCTTTGTTGGTGAACCTTGGATGTTAATTATGAAACAACTTGACGTGGGTTTTATTGCATTTTTGCAACAGACAAAGGCAGTACATCAGTTAATATCTGCTTGTGTAAATAAAAGCCTGCTCATAATACTCATAATAAAGGTTTTTGGGTTAGATCGCGTTTATTTATAAATGTGTCGTAACCCTCCACCACCCGACACGGCCAATCAGCAAAAAAAGTGTCACGTTGACAAAAGACAAATAATTCACTACTTCAGCCCCCCGGTGTGTTGAAGAGTTAATCCACATTTACAGTTTGAGTACGACGTTTCGCTGGTAAATACATCCAGCGTCATCGGGCAATTCGCCAGAATGGTAAAGCCCTCGCTTGCTCCCGGTTTTATATAGAGCAGCAGGGTGACGTCATCACTTAACTCCTATCAGGTGCAGTGATTAGAGGTGGAGGGGGGGGGTATTGTAATTATATAATCGATTAGTAATCAGTCATTGGTTATGATTAGTAATGAGTTGTAGATTAGTAATTCTTTAAATCAAAATGTAATGTGTATTATTTAATAATACGCTTCCAGGCCACACTAAGCCGGTAGCTGTCAGAGCGATTAAAGTTATTCTTGTTCCTCTCAATTTCATTGGATTCTCTAATTAGTCTTTGCCAGTAATAATTAGTTTTACACACCACTGCAACATTGTCAAAATCAATTGAGTGTCCTTGTTGACAAGCATGTTCTGCCACTGCCGACAGTTGTGTTTGAGATAATTTAATATTTCTCTGATGTTCTTTTAGTCTTACGCTGATGTTACGTCCCGTCTGCCCAATGTAGCAGCTGCCACATGAGCAATTAATCCGATACACACCTTCTGTTGATAGTTTAGGTAATGCGTCTTTAGTGCAAGATACTAGTTTGAATTTGTGTACTGTACCAATCTTACTGTAATGTTTTGCAAATTAGCCCGTGTTTTGCTTTTGCAAACACGGGCTAATTTGTCAGTTACTGGCAAAGACTAATTAGAGAATCCGTTGAAATTGAGAGAAACAAGAATAACTTTAATCGCTCTGACAGCTACCGGCTTAGTGCGGCCTGGAAGCATATTATTAAATAATACACATTACATTTTGATTTAAAGAATTACTAATCTACAACTCATTACTAATCATAACCAATGACTGATTACTAATCGATTATATAATTACAATACCCCCCCCCCCTCCGCCTCTAATCACTGCACCTGATATGAGTTAAGTGATGACGTCACCCTGCTGCTCTATATAAAACCGGGAGCAAGCGAGGGCTTTACCATTCTGGCGAATTGCCCGATGACGCTGGATGTATTTACCAGCGAAACGTCGTACTCAAACTGTAAATGTGGATTAACTCTTCAACACACCGGTGGGCTGAAGTAGTGAATTATTTGTCTTTTGTCAACGTGACACTTTTTTTGCTGATTGGCGCGTGTCGGGTGGTGGAGGGTTATGACACATTTATAAATAACGCGATCTAACCCAAACCTTTATTATGAATAATATTGGTCGCGAAAGCCTACGTGTTAAAAAGCCTGCTCATGTCACCTTAAAATCACAGCTCATGGCTACAGGATGGTGTGCTGTCATTTCATAATTAGAATATTTATTTATACCGGAAGAATCTGATGAGCTATAAGCTCTTTTTCACAGATGTCCAGTCGGGCGGGTCAGAAACGTTACAACAACAAACAATACAGAAACGTGATAGTGCAAAGTATAGGAAAGGGAAGCAAATTCCCCAAAAATATGTATCAATAAAATGTACGCTTTTGTTTGTTTTACCAAGTAAAGCCCACTGATCTAATAGCTTATTTTTCAGAAAGCGACCTTGCCACAAATGATAGCGTAACGAAGTGGCTTATCACGTGGAAATTTATAGTAGCCAACAAATCAAAATTCCCTTCCACATGCTGGGCTCTTCACGCTAACCTTCACATGTCCTGTTGTTATTACCCTATCATCGACTGCAATGCTTATCCTGACCCTAATTCAAGCCTTTGCACTAGTTCTGAGAGTAACACGGACTACCTAATCTCCAGTATTTGAGGTAGGGTCTTGGTGGATAACACAAGGTCGTGTGAAAAAATAGACGGACCGCTCGAATGAGTTGTGGCGCATCCATCTATGCAGACGTCAATGTAAGTGTAGTGACATCACGGGATGCCACTGTGTAGTGCCGGCCCTAGGGAGGCACGGCGTGCGGTGTATTGACATCGCGGATGCCACTATGGTGTGGGTGCAGTACCGGCCCTAGAGGGGCTCGGTCAGCGCTGATTGATAGTGCTGGATGGCACCAACGCTCGGCGTGCAGTGCCAGCCCTACAGGACAGGGTGTGGAAGTGGCGCTGTAGGAATGAAGTTACTAGAGGCCATGGCACTCTGGTTGACCCGAGAGGACACGTGAACCGGTTAAGTCTACAAAGGGGCCCTAAGTGGGGGCTATGGGTGGTCACGTGGTCGGGTCCAGATCCTGCTCGAGGATTCTGGAAGGTGTCGTGGCCAAGGGTGGAGCCAGCCACCGGCGCAGAGGATCTAAGCCGGGGTCCCCCAGAGGGGCCGGCGTTGTTGTTCATCCTGAAGAAACCTTCGTCAACGTGTCTGCCGAGTCTCCAACACGTGGACCTGGACCCGATCTGTGGTCCCGGTTCGAAGTAGCTAGTTATGGTGTAATTAGTGTAGTTAGCCTAGTGGTCACCACCGTAGGTTGTTATTCTGTTAAGGGGGCGGTTACCCGGTGTGTTTGGTGTTAAATACATGTGTTGCCTCCAAGAGTACGTCTGTGACTCGGTTGAACTCACTACATAAGTAATATATGTTGAACTTCTTTCACGCCATACGTAGCCACTGTGCTAATCGGAAGTACGGGGAGGAAGGACAACAAACAAAACGCAAAAATCAGTTTGTGCTTAGTTTGACTGAGAGGAAGCAAATCTGCCGTATCGGGGAGCCGCAGTAGAGCAGACCACGCTAGCAACACGCACGGATGTGAGGACAGCCGCGCATGAGCGAGCTGGTCGAGCGCAAGTGTCGAGGTGGCTGTGAGTGTGTGCGTTCGTCGATGCACAGAGGAGCTGTAAGGCAAAGAGTAAAAATGCCACCACGAAGACAGTGTCAAGCCGGCCCATTAGACCAGGCTGGGGCGTGCTGGATCTCCGACGTGGGTTTGAAGCTTCGTTCAGAGAAAGTAATACTCTAAAGTCGCCGGGCGGCTAAAACGCAGAAAGTCGGCACAGTGGGGGAGCAAAGGTGGTGCTTCCAGTCATCTCAGTCAACCTATCGCTCCTGTGTCCTGTTTCGTGGCCAGCCAGTGAGACTTCGACCTTCATATGGCCGCCTCAAAGTGCACCTAGCGTGGCACAAGGCCGTGGTGAGGTTTGCCACCGCTCCAGTGGCGATTCGCGGGGGTTTTTGTTGTGCCCGCACGTGTGTTTCTATAGATGTGAACGCGCCCCCGCCTCCACGTGTGTTTGGTGTGCCCAGGTTGCGAGGGCTGCTGGTGCCAACCCGCCGCTGCTGAAGCGCACTGCTCCCCGCTACGCTTGGAGCCTTTGCGGGAGAGCGGTGAGCGGCACCGGCGTGAGCGTCCGCCCGTGACGCCCGCCCGTCGTCGCGATAACGGCCGACCCGCGAGCAGGTGGCAGCGGGCGCTGGATTGGGTTTGCAGAGCCATGGGGGAGACGTGGGAGACCGGTGGGTGTGCAGGCTCCCACTATGCCATAGTCATGACTATAGCTCTGACCAAGCCCATACGCATGGCACCAACACTCATAACACCCATACTCATAACACGAGCACTCAACCTTGCACTTATAGTCACCCTAATATCCCATACTCAACTCTAAATACTAGACCAGGTTTATAATAATAGCCTAACCGTACCCATAATTCTTGTATCAGCATGAACCCTAGGCTAATTCATAATCCTAGCTAAATGCTTACCCATAACCCAAGCACTAGGACTAACCCTAACCCCTAACACTAGCCTTAACGCTTTAACCGCAACCATTAGACATGTGTAGTGAGCAACTTCCGACACACGTTAAGTAGGAAGGCTTCTTATTTATTGAGAGCACACAGGGCGATACACTTCGTAACGCGGCATACACCCAGGCTGTTCTAACACGCAGCCCGTCTCCGTCTTGCGCTACGCTGGCTGGTCGACGAGCGTAGCGGCGGCGACGGAGCTGGTCCTGCAGAAGATCGCCACTTGGTCGAGAGACGAAAGATGACGACGGCAGTGACGCAACCAGGACCCAGACCCCACACTGACAGACACACCACACTTACAGACACCACACTGAACAGTCACCACACTGACAGTCCACCACACTGACAGTCACCACACTGACAGACCCACACTGACAGACCCACACTGACAGACCCCACTCTGACGACACCACACTGACAGACACCACACTGACAGACACACACTGACAGACCCCACACTGACAGTCACCACACTGACAGTCACCACACTGACAGTCACCACACTGACAGACCCCACACTGACAGACCCCACACTGACAGACCCCACACTGACAGACCCACACTGACAGACCCCACACTGACAGACCCACACTGACAGACCCCACACTGACAGACCCCACACTGACAGACCCCACACTGACAGAACCCCACACTGACAGACCCCACACTGACAGACACCACACTGACAGACACCACACTGACAGACCCCACACTGACAGAGCCCACACTGACAGACACCACACTGACAGACCCCACACTGACAGACACCACACTGACAGACCCCACACTGACAGACCCCACACTGACAGACAACCACACTGACAGACACCACACTGACAGACCCCACACTGGACAGAACCCCACACTGACAGACACCACACTGACAGACCCCACACTGACAGACCCCACACTGACAGACCCCACACTGACAGACACCACACTTCTAGATTTAAAAGCTTTCGTGACTGCTAGGATCCATACTCTTTGGTTCTATTGGGTAAAGTCACGTAGGTGAAAATAAAATAAACAAAAATCACGACGTTCGGCCACAACACAAGCGGCCTTCATCAGGTGAAGGGACGAGACTGTCTGGAGCACTCCAGCGCTGTCCTCCAGACAGTCTCGTCCCTTCACCTGATGAAGGCCGCTTGTGTTGTGGCCGAAACATCGTGATTTTTTGTTTTTTTATTTTCACCTACGTGACTTTACCCAATAGAACCAAAGAGTATAGACACCACACTGACAGACCCCACACTGACAGACACCACACTGACAGACCCCACACTGACAGACCCCACACTGACAGACCCCCACACTGACAGACCCACCACTGACAGACACCACACTGACAGACACCACACTGACAGTCCCGAAGCTCTGGTTCGGTGCTCCTTATATCCGCCTGGCGTGGCCAAGCTCCACCTCTGGCCACGCCCCCTTTCTAGAACCTTCTAGACCCTTCGGGATGGTTCCTAGAGCTTCTCGACTGACTTCACCCTTGACCTTTACCCCAGATACGCCCTTCATATAAGGCATTATGTAAAGCAGCTATAACTGTAATTACCTTTCAGGCCGCAGGTGTCCGCCCTGTCATTACACATGTAACGATTCAGGCCTCCCCAACTCATGTTCACCCCAACTTTAATTCTTATTAACTCCAACGACAACTCTTCTGTACCCCCGCTCTCGCACCCCACCCCCTCCCCCTCTCGCCCCCCCCTTCCCACCGCGGGTCGGTGCAGGCTTGGGGGTGTCGGTTGTGCTGGCAACGGTGGTGCAGCGATCGTGGCGTGGGAGCTCTTCCTGCGCCTCTCCTCGTTCCTGCGGCGACGTGATGAGGTGGACCCGGCGCCGCAGGTGCGCAGCCTCTACGACTACGTGCGGGGCAACTACGTGGAGCCGCGCAGCTGCCGCCTGCTCTGCGATTGGGACGACCCCCACCCCGTGGGCCACACCATGACCTTCAGCCTGCAGGTTTGGTGTACCGACTACCCCGCCCTAAACAACGAGCGTAACCGTAGCCTGACCCAGAAACTTAACCCTGACTTTCAAACCCTAACTAAAATGAAACTTTTTTTATTTGACCAGGTGAGGCCCACTGAGCTATAGAGCGCTTTTTCAGAAGCGACCTGGCCACAAATGATAGCTCAACTAAGTGGCTTGTCATGTGGAAATTTATTGCAGCGAAGTACTCTAAATGCATGTTTCTAAAATGTGGAGGGAGAACCCGAGGACCTGGATTAAAATCCACGCAACCACGGGGAGAGAGACATGCAAACTCCAAATATGCATGTGTCAGGGTTGGGATCGAACCCACGACCTGTATACCAGGAAAGGAAATTAAACATCTCGCCACCATGGCGAGATGACTCTAAGCCTCAGCTTAACCTTCATCTTCCAGGTGAGCAGCAGCCTTTAACCTTCACTGTAACCTCAACTCCAAACACTCGAATGCAAAGACAAAGCTTCAACCCGAACTGTAATTAGAAACCTCACCGTAACCTTCGCCATAATGCTGAACGTAACCTAAACCCTTAAACCTAAGACAATACCTTAACCCGAACTGTAACCTTAGCCATAATGCTGAACGTAACCCTAAACCCTTAAACCCTAAGACAATACCTTAACCCGAACTGTAACCTTAGCCATAACGCTGACGTACCCTAAAACCCTTAACCCTAAGACAATACCTTAACCCGAACTGTAAACCTTGGCCATAACGCTGAACGTAACCCTAAACCCTTAACCCTAAGACAATACCTTAACCCGAACTGTAACTTTAAACCTAACCATAGCCTTATTCCTAAGACAGAACCTGATCCCCAACCTTATCCTAGCTCTAGCCCTAACCCTAGTCATTACCATAAGATTCAACACTAATCCGTAACCCTCACTCAAACCCTCAGTCTAACCACAACCCTCTTCCTCAGATAAAACCATAAAACACACCATGACCCTATCCTTAATGCCCTAACCTGGACGCTAAGCGCAAACCAAAACACAGAGCCTCATGTGCTATTGATTTGATTTGAGGGTAACTCCGGCCCTCATGCCCCCCCCCCCCATTCTCTGTCACCCTCCCACAGCTCTTCTACAAGAACGGGCAGCCGTGCCCACTGCACCAGGTGGCGATGCCCAGCTTGTCTGTGCGCCACTGCGACCTGGCATGAACGTGCCGCTGGCGCAAGACGTATCGGCCGCCTCTTTCCTCTCGCCCGCTCACGAAGCCGACACGGCATCCGAGGAGGTGGAGCGGGAGGGGGAGGAGGAGGGGGAGGAGACTGCGGCGGCGCCGGCGGTGGAGTATGAAGCGCAGGAAGTGACGTCGGGCAACACGTTGAGGGCGGCGTTCACGGTGCGGAGGGCTGGGCGCTACCAGATCTCGGCGACAGTCGCGGGGAAGCACGTCCACGGAAGCCCCGCGTTGCGATGCTTCTCGCCGGGTACGTCACGCTTCAGCCACACGCGTGTCGCTCCGCGCGGCTTGCAGGTGGGGCGCGGCAAAAGCCGCCACGCTGCTGGAAAACGGGTAGCGGCTGCAATGCAGATCTCCCGAATCCAGAGCCTCTCCGATGGTCTTTTAGTTTCGTAGAAATTTATCATTACCATGGCAGGGGTTGATCTCTGGTCTGTCATGGTGGCGTGACAGACCAGAGATGGGGCAACATGGTGTCGAGATGTTCACAACCTCGCCTGGGTGTACAGGAGGTCGTGGGTTCGATCCCGACCCTGACACCTGCTCTATATTTTGAGTTTGCGTGTGTCTCTCTCTCTCTCATCATCACGGTGGCTAGATGTTAACTCCCTCGCCTGGTATACAGAAGGTCGTGGGATCTCCCAGTGGGCATGTGGATTTTTCACCGAGTCCTCCGGTTTTTTTCTCCATGTTCAGAAACATGCAGTTAGAGTATTTGACTGCTATACATTTCCACGTGATAAGTCACTTTGTTGAGTTATCATTTGTGGCCAGATCATTTGAAAAAGAGCTATAGAGCTCAGTGGGCCTTATCTGTAAAATATATTTTTGTTAAATAGTAATTGTCCATCGATGAACACTGCAAGTCAGTTTTGATCAGCTGGGGTAATGGTGGGGGGGTGCTGGTTGGTGGGGTGATCCCGATAAAACCAAAACATGGGTAATGCAAGCGTATAAATCATGGTTGAACAATGTGTTCATTGTTCATCTACGTCTTCTGTTTAGAGTAGTGAATTTACTTGCGCATGTGTTTTTTGTTACGTGACCACTGATTCACGTGTACATGTTGACAGGCCTTTGGCACTTGACTGCTGGTAAACTAAACTATTTATCAGGTAAGCCAACCGAGTTGTTTGCAGAGGCGACCTGGCAAAACATGATAAGAGCTCATCGAAGTGGCTTTTCGCCATATGTTGAAATTTATAGTAGCAGCCAATTAATCTAAACGGCGTCCCTGTTATCGGCGGTACAGCTCCCTGACTTGTTTCCGGGTTGTTCCACGCGGCACGACATCTTTGTAACGTTCTGACCCGGCCCCTTCTGGACATCTATGATAAAAGAGCTTTATAGCTGATCAGATTCCTCCAGTGTAAATAAATATTCAGATTCTGACATCCGACGTTTCGCTCCGTGCGCTGGGAGCTTCTTCCGGAATTCGATTCAATCGCCGAAAAAGCTGCCAGCTCGTGAAGTGAATTAAATTCCAGGAAGAAGCTCTCGAGACCTGGGGCGAGATGTCGGACTTTGTGGAGCGCAACACGCGGCACAGCCCAAAAACACCGTGCGGAGAGCGCAGTCAGGCGCTGCGCACGATAACCCACTCAGTCAGGAGCTCCGCACGATAACCCACTCAGTCAGGCGCTGCGCACGATAACCCACTCAGTCAGGAGCTCCGCACGATAACCCACACAGTCAGGAGCTCCGCACGATAACCCACTCAGTAGGAGCTCCGCACGATAACCCACTCAGTCAGGAGCTCCGCACGATAACCCACACAGTCAGGAGCTCCGCACGATAACCCACTCAGTCAGGAGCTCCGCACGATAACCCACTCAGTCAGGAGCTCCGCACGATAACCCACACAGTCAGGAGCTCCGCACGATAACCCACACAGTCAGGAGCTCCGCACGATATACCCACTCAGTCAGGAGCTCCGCACGATAACCCACTCAGTCAGGAGCTCCGCACGATAACCCACTCAGTCAGGAGCTCCGCACGATAACCCACACAGTCAGGAGCTCCGCACGATAACCCACTCAGTCAGGAGCTCCGCACGATAACCCACTCAGTCAGGAGCTCCGCACGATAACCCACTCAGTCAGGAGCTCCGCACGATAACCCACACAGTCAGGAGCTCCGCACGATAACCCACTCAGTCAGGAGTTCCGCACGATAACCCACGCAGTCAGGAGCTCCGCACGATAACCCACGCAGTCAGGAGCTCCGCACGATAACCCACTCAGTCAGGAGCTCCGCACGATAACCCACTCAGTTAGGAGCTCCGCACGATAACCCACGCAGTCAGGAGCTCCGCACGATAACCCACGCAGTCAGGAGCTCCGCACGATAACCCACGCAGTGCGGTCACGGCTTGCGTCTCGCGGTTGTGTCCCCATCCCGCAGGCCCCGCGGTGCCCTCCAAGACGCGTGTGCTGCACCACCTCTCCACGCTGGTGCTGCGCCAGGGCGAGCTGCACACGCTCACGGTCACGCCGCACGACGAGTTCGGCAACCGCACGGCGGTGGGGCTCCAAGAGGAGGACGCGTACAGCCTCTCTCTCACAGCGGTGGGGCGCACGCACACACTCGCACGCACACACATGCACACGCACACACTCGCACACGCACACACTCGCACGCACACACATGCACACGCACACACTCGCACACGCACGCACTCGCACACGCACACACATGCACACACTCGCACGCACACACATGCACACACATGCACACACTCGCACGCACACACTCGCACACGCACGCACGCGCACGCACGCGCACACGCACGCGCACACGCACGTGCACACACTCGCACACACACGCACACACACGCGCGTATGGACGCACACATGCACAAACAAAGACAAAGCCCCCCCCCCCCCCCCCGGATAGCCTTGAACAGACGTATGGGGCAAGTGTTGTGAGATAGTAGCGCCTATGAAGGTGCTACTCTCGGCACATGAGGGGGGGGTGGGTGGCCAGTACCACGCCGGTCGCCTTTGCCTCTCCAGTGCTGGTGATGTTTTTACACACCAAACCAGCTATTCATTTGAAACTTAGTTGACCTAGGGGAGGCCCAGGACTTGTTTAAACAATCATCATTGGTGTTGGCCTTGAGCGGGAGACGCACTCGGGTCGCCGGGCTCGTAGCACGGTGAACTTCCCGCTACACTACCGCTTCTACATACACACAGACATACCTAGACACACATGTACAGGTCTGGGTACACGTACACACACATGTACCTACATGTGTACACAACAAAGATCCCCCGTATAACCTGAATACATGAGGGGGTGGATTGGCCGGCACCACACACGACCGCCCTTTTCTCTCCATTAGCGATATTTTTACACACCGCACCAGGTACTCATTTGAGGCTGAGTCGACCTAGGGGAGGCCCAGGACCGGTTCAAATAATCGACACTTGTGTTGGCCATGAGCCGGAATCGAACTCAGGTCGCTGGGTTCATAGCGCAGCGCGCTAACCGCTGCACTGCCGCTCCCGATGAGCACACACGCACATGAAAACACGCGCGTGTGTGTGTACGTCGCGAGCATCTGCCAGTACATTGCGTGTATTTTGCCCACGCTTGTTTCGTGTTGTTGCGCGTAACACACGCGTCTCCGCCTGCGTGTTGTCTCTCTGTGTGTGTGTGTGCCCGTGTAGTGTGTGTTTGTGTGTGCTTATGTGTGCGGCCTTCACAGTCTGTAAACGTCTATACGGTGGGGGATCTTTGTGTGTGTGGCACAGCTGGGGGCGGGGGAGAACGAGGTGTACCCGGGCGGTGTGTGCTACTCGTATGAGTTGCACGCGTCACCTGCACTCTGCCAGCTGTCGCTGCGTGTTGAGGTGCAGCACGTGGGCTGCTTCCGCGCCCGCATCGCCCACCGCGGGGGCCAGCCGCTTGCCAACGGGGACTTCGACATCATCGTCCTCACCGGTGACGCCCGACCCCAGGCCTGGGCCTGACCCTCAGCCCAACCCCGAGCCCCACCCCGAGCCGACTATGAGCCTCATCCCGAACCCGACCACCAGCCTGACCCCGGGCTTCCAGCGGTTTCTGATGAGGAGCAACACGTAAAACTCACCATAGCCCTAACCCTGAACCACAAACCAACTCCTAGCCCTAACCCTGACCCATAAACCCAATTCCTATTAATAACCCTGACACTAAAGCCTAACCCTGACCCTGGTCTGTAGCCATAACCATGCTCGGTTACACTTTATTTTCCGTTGTCCTGCTCACGTGGCCACAGATGAGGAGGTGGCGCAGGTGGACAAGAGCGTGCAGCGCACGGGCCTGTCTGTGTACCACGAGGCCTTCCTGCAGCAGGTGCCGAGCTACGCACACGTCCACTGGGCCCTCCCAGACTGCGGGCCCCCCACGGGGCCCCCCGAGTCACCCCCCGCCACGCCGGGACCCTCGGCTGCCGCCACGTGGCCTCCCTCGTTGCCCACCTCCCCCACCGTGCTGGCCGACAAGATGAGGAAAGCCAAGAAGGTCTACTGCTACATCTCGCCCAAGGTGCGCGCGGGGTGGGAAAGGGAGAGGCTTGGAGCCGGGGCTGCCGTGATACGGTGATACTTGCAGTAAATGGTCGCGTGGATTTTTCTCCCGAGTCTTCCGGTTTTTCCCCCCACATTTAAAATCAACACGCAGTTGGAGTATTTGGCTGCTGTACATTTCCACGTGATGAACCACTTCGTTGAGCTATCATTTGTGATAGCCAGGTCGCTTCTGAAAAAGAGCTACATAGCTCAGTTGGGCCTTACCTGTTGAAGTAAAACATAGTTTAGTTTACTTTTACAATATCGGATCCACCGTGATTGTATTGGCCACGTTCCAAAGTTCCGCTGTGCTGTGATTATCGTTGCATCATTTTACTTTTGGGAGTTTTATGAAAACCCACGTCCTTGTGTCTTCAGCAACTCACCATCAAAGAGTACTACCTGCGGATCATTCCCTGGAGGCTGCTCACCTTCCGGGTGTGCCCGGGCACCAAGGTGAGCGAGTGCCTCCCGTGTGCCTGCATAGCGCCCAGACCAAGTGTGGCCCCACGGCTGCCAGGCAGAACCCTCTGCTCTACTTTCATTGCCATTCAGTGGACATTCAGCGAAGAGAGTTTGAGCACGTAAATAAATAAATATCAAGCAATCTCAGAACCCGCGCACGTGCATAATGATTGATGAAAGTAATGAATGTTTAGTTGAAATCTTCATTAATGTTTGCAAACCCTCAGACGGTACACGGGAATAGTACGATTAAAAACCTCAACCGAAGACGGGGTAAGTCAGAAAGGCACGGCAGCTGAGACGGCGTACCCAAACGAAACCGGTCAGTCCGAACAAGACAAAGCCAACGGAACAAAACGTCATAGACGGAACAAGGGATGCGATGCAAATGAGACCATACGAAGTAGACACGAAATAATCAGTCCTTGAATCGGATCGTGGCTTCAAGTCGTGACATGTGTATAATACGTATGTTGAACTTCCTTCGCACTGTACGTAGCCAATCGTGCTAGTCGGAGGCGACAGTGTAACGAAGGGGGAATTGGGGGATTAAATAATTACACACATCCAGTTATTCACATCGCGGCCACCCGTTAATTCTGCAAATGCATATATTGGTGGAATTACCGGTGCGCCGTATAAAAAAAAGCAAATTTTTCGCCATAATTATTTACTTTCCTGCGATTCGCAACCGGAACACGGTCAAATAAATATTGCGGGGTGTGCCGAAATCAGTTCTCATGATGTGAAAGCAGTTGGAAGACGAATGTCCGTAAAAAAATCGTGATTTTAGACCTTCTTTATGGGGGACCCTGGTGTGTTACGCTGCACCGGTGTACCGCAAAATACGTCCAAATGTTCTCTTTTGCTCCACGCCACCCCCCCCCCACCAGTTCCACTACTATGGCCGTGACGCCGCCACGGGTCTGCCGACGCTGGTGATCGACGACGGCACCCAGCCGCCCGCCGAGTTGGTGCTGCGCGACCGCAACGTCCTCGCCGCCACCTTCACGCGCTTCCTGCTGCGCAGCATCGGTGATGACGCGTGCACGCACGCACGCCCACGCACGCGCTTAATAGACTTGCGCACCTGTTAACTTAAAAAAAACACAACCTATTAACTATTATTATTTTACCAGGTAAGGCCCAATGAGCCTATTAGCTTCTTTTTCAGAAGCGACCTGGCCACAAATGATAGCTCAGCGAAGTGGCTCATCATTTTGAAATTTATAGCGGCCAAATACTCTAAAGCGTGATGTTGATTCCAAATGTGGAGGGGAAAAACTGGAGGAACCGGAGAAAAATCCACGTGACCACGGGGAGGGAGACACTGCAAACTCCAAGTATACAGGCGTAAGGGTTGGGATCCAACTCACGACCTCCTGTATACCAGATGAGGTAGCTAACATCTCACCACCGTGGCACCTGTATGTACGCGCACGGAAATTCGTACACGACGACAATGGCGACCATTGACCACGAGGTTGCAGTGACGTCGCCACAGCACAAGCACCAGGCTAGGTGCACCTTGAGGGCCACGTGAAGTGTCTAAAGCCCCCTGACAGGAGGTTACGGGACAGACCCAGGAATTGTGGGTTGACTGACTGAGATCATTCGGGATAACTTGCAGATGCACCACCTGTGCTTATACACACTCAGATGCAGTCGCTCCTGTAAACACAACACTCATAAAATCACTCAGACTGACAAAGACAAAGCGCCACTGTATAGCCTTTACAATATGTTGGGGCAAGTGCTCTTAGCGGGCACCCATGAAGGCCAGTACCGCAGATAGTGGGGTGGTGTATTGTGGTGTGCACCATGCCCAGCCACCTTTGGCTCCCCAGTGCTGAAAGGTCTCCACTGCACTACCGCTCCGCACGGTCACATTCTCCTCTCAGACACAAAGATCCTCCGTATAGCCTTAAAAGACGTTTGGGGCAAGAGCTGTTAGCGAGCACCTATGATGGCCGGTACGACACACAAGAGAGTGGGTGACCAGCACCATGCCCGGCCGCCTTTATCTCCCCAGTGGTGATGTTTTTACACACCACATCAGGTACTCATTTGAAGCTGAGTCGACCTAGGGGAGGCCCACAACTGGTTCAGCTATTCATCACTGATGTCCCATAAAGGGGGATTGAACTGGGGTCAAAGCACAGTGAGCTCACTCGGACACGCACACTCACGCACCACACTCTCATTGGATCACTCACGCACACTCGCACTGTGGCCGTGCGAGTGACTGCGTATGTGACCACGCACCGGTTTCTGTGTGTGTGGCTGTGTATTGGGTTCAGGCGGCTCGGAGACGTGCCAGGACAAGATGGTCTTCTTCCAGCGGGAGCTGCGGAAACTACACGCAAAGAAGCCTCGCAACAAAATCTCGCTGCGAGTCTCGCGGCAATGCCTGCTGGACAGCGTGCGTCACCCATGCCGTGCACTGGCGAGAGACGCCTCTGCGTTGGATCCTTCACACCATCGCGCGCAGTCACCTCTCAAATTGTCCAGCGTGACGGAGGCCACGTGGCCTGTAATCCAGCACTGTGGAGGCAGCGAGGGTTGGTGGATTGCACAAATGTTGGGCGTCAGGGTGCCATACTCTGGCTTGCCAGTAAAGTAAATGTGGACTCCATACTTTCTATCTGAATGGGATAGAGCGTTGCTGTCTCGCACGTGTGAGTTTTCTCTAGGTGCTCCTCTTTCTTCCCACACGTGAACAGTCATTAATTGGCCGATAACACCTTCATATATAGAGGACCGCAGAGCTTGCTGGCTGCTGCTGCCTTTCTCGTGCCTCTGCGTTGTCCTCTCCCTTCCATAGTGATCGAATATTGTGTGGTATGTTACAAGGTGGAATTGTTATCAAACAAAAACACTGATAATGCTAAATATATGTATACCTGTCAACCCCTTATCAGTGCCTACCTTATTACAGACTCTATTGGTCCTCCCGTGCCCTTATAAATCTCAACGTTCATCCTACAAAGTCCCATCGCAAGGGAGAAACACAAATAGACTATACAGTAAAACTTTGGATTGCGAGCATAATTGGTTCCGGAAACGTGTTTGTAATCCAAAGCACTCGTATATCAAAGCACTCGTATATCAGTTGTGATCAAATGACGCTCGGCAGACAAAGCGTATACGTACTACTCGTATTGCAAGACCTCGCTCGTTTATCAAATTAATATTTATTGAAACATTTTGCTGCTCTTGCAAAACACTCGCAGACCAAGTTACTCGCAATCCAAGGTTTTACTGTAGATATATATTTTGATTATATTGAAACGACTGTACGCCGTATGAGTTGACAGGTGTGTATATGTAAAGTAGGCGATGTCAATCTTATTTCTTACCCACGTAGAATAGGGTTGACAGCGGAGAAAGAGGGAGGTCATTATTATGGGTACACACAGCGATGCGGAAAACACGTTACGTGCAGTAAATCGTTTCACACACACACAGGGAAAATTCAACAAATTCAGGTTTTTCCTAAATTGTTAAAATCACGCGTTTAAGTTCAGTGATGCGGGCACTAAGACGCGTAACCATGATGAGTGAGGAGCAGCGAATGATAGAACCCGCGCACGTGCAATCAGATTTCATTTATTCTTTACAAGCATGGTCAGACCCCAACCCCGAAGATCCAGTAACAGATAAAACTTAAACTATTAAAGGTTTTATTTTACCAGGTAAGGCCCTTTTCAGAAGCGACCTGGCCACAAATGATTGCTCAACGAAGTGGTTCATTGTGGAAATTTATTGCAGCCAAATACTCTAAACGCGTGTTTAAAAATGTGGAGGGAAAAAGCAGAAGCAATCTGTCATGTCTTAGCGAACAAAATCTTGACGCACGTATATCCCGCGACCGTGTCTCATCAGCAAGATGCACACGTGCTCCCGCTAAAAGACAAATTCTGCAACAGTGGTCACACGTGTACAGCCTGTTCTCCTTTTGTGCGGTCGTAGTTGCGTTCCTGAAAAACATCATGCTATGGGAAAATCACAATACATAGGGTAAAGCACAGTCCGCGATAAAACGTGTGACGCATACCCAGGCCGAACAAAGACTGAGACACGTGGGTAGCATCCAGAAGCATCCAGCAGCATCCCACTTTGTGTGACGCTACGCCGAGGCAGCCGTACGACCGCTTAGTCCTACTCGCGCAACGTAATTATGTTCGATCAATCGCGTTATATCGAATTAGCATCTGCGTTATAAAAAAATGTGTTCCCTCGTACATTAATTTGCGTTATATCCAATTCGCGTTATGAAAACAACACGGGGAGTTCTAGGACAACAGACTGTACACGTATAACTATGTGAATGCATGCACATACTATACCATACCTTAAATACAAACACCTGCTCGCGTACACACACACACGATGCCCCCACATAGCCTTTAACAGACTGCTTGGGCAAGTGCTGTTAGCGAGGACTTATTAAGGCAGGCAAGGGGCACGAGGAGGTGGGTGGCCAGAACCATGGCCGCCAACTTTGTCTCGCCAATGATAATATTTGCAGACAAGTTACTCATTTTAAGGCTGCATTAACCTTGTGGTGCCTTGGACAGGTTCAAATGCAATTACCACTGTCAGCTGTGGGCGGGCATCGAACTTAGGTCACCAGGATCATAGCACAGTGTGGAATACTACACCACTGTTGCTCACAGCAATAGATAAAAAGACAAATATCCCCCATATAGCCTTTACCACGCTGTTGGGGTAAGTGCTGTTAGTGAACAGCTATGAAGGCCAACACAGCACACAAGAGGGTGGGGTGGTCAACACCACGACCTTTGTCTCCCCAGCGCTAAAGTTTTCACATCGCACCAGGCACTCATTTGAGGCGGAGTCGACCTAGAGGATGCCCAAAACCTTTTCGGGGAATCTTCACTAGTGTTGGCCATGAGCGGGAATCTTAACTCGGCTCGAAGGGTTCATGGTGCAGCGTGCTAATCGCTACGCAGCTGCCCCCCACAGCAACGGATGCACACTCTCTTACCCACACATGCTTCTCATCTGATCTCCTTGCTTCCCGTCCCCATGTCTAACCCTGCTCCTCCCGTAGTCTGTAAAAGCAGTACGCAACTTCTCCTCGAACGACTGGTTCAGAAGTTTCGAGGTCACCTTTGAGAACGAGGAGGGTGAGTGTTACCTGGTGTACATGTGGGTGGGCGATCGCGTGGGGTGTCACCTGGTGTACATGTGCCTGGGCAGTTGTTCGAGTGTGACCTCGTCTGCATGTGTGTGGGCGATCGCGTGAGCTTGACCCGACGTACACGTGCGTGGGCGATCGTGCGGGCGCGACCTGGGAGAACCAAAAAGAAGAGTGTGGATTTTCAAATGTTAACATCTGATGTCGTAGATGAATCCAGCACCATACCACCCCCTCCCTCGGGCACTCTGTCAGCCTTAACAGGGCGCTCGCCAACATCATCACTTGCCTCTACGATCCGTATCGACCTTCGTGCCTCTCGGGTGCATTTTCGGGGGGGGCGCCACATTTTCTTCGGCCGCGATGATGTCCGACGTTTCGCTCCACGCGCTGCTTTTTTTTTGGTCGTCTCTTGCGCAGCCCTGGACCGTGGCGGGCCACGCCGCGAGTGGTTCGAGCTCATGTGCAAGGCCCTCTTCGAGCCTGCGAACAAGCTGTTCACGCACTTCGTCGACGACAACCAGGCGCTGGTGAGGCCTGCTGGGGGTCTCGGGTTCGCAGAGTCCCGGCGAAAAGCCGGGCCGGCTTCACCGAGTGGGCAAAGCGGCGAATGTCAAGTCTGGAAAACGCAAAGAGGCGGCAGGGGGTTTGAGGCAATGCTCACCGGCTGTGCCGCCTCCACCATGCAAGACATACGGGAAGCCGAAGATGTGGGATCGTAGAAGTACATTACAACATGGAGTTTGCTGAACTGCCCTCTGTTACCCAGCACGCTGTTGTGCAGCAGCAGCAGCAGCAGCAGCCTATAATGAACCTTCTGTGCTTGGTGGCCACACACCCGAACACTGTTCAAGCGCATGCCTGCTTAGCTTACAAGGTCCGATGAGATAGGGCGCATCCTGGGTGATGCGGTTTTGGGCTTCACCGTAACAACAATGCCCTGTGAAGGGGTGCTTGTCGCACGGCCGTTAGCCAGACTTTTTAATCCTTAGAGCTCAAATGTTCGGACACTCGTGACAAGGCAAGTTTAATTTAATGGATTCTTCTGCCGGTGGCGGTGATGACAGCAGCTCGCTGCACGTGAGAACCCCATTTATCCACGAGCGGCTGATGACCAGATTCATACCGGCTCGGTGTGAGCGACACTGAGCCGGTTTGACCCCCCGCCTTGCTTCAGCGGCCGTCTGGAACGCTCTTCCGATATTAGGAAGCCACTGGGAGCTAAGCACTTTAAAATAATTGAGATTGACAAACTAATTTCTTGAGAACCGCTTTTTGTGTTTAATTTGTTGTCCTTCCCCTGCACCTTTCGATGAACACGGTTGGCTACGTACGGTGCGAAAGAAGTTCAACATACATCCAAACACTTCTCCCAACTTGCGCAGTCTGGTCCAGCGAGCAGAACACCGTTGTCGGTGAAACTTTTTAGCATTCATTTTGGGTTTCCCCGGCAGGTGCATCCGAACCCACACAGGCCGCACCACATGCGCCTGCGTCTGTACGAGCTGGCGGGCCGCCTCGTCGGGAAGTGTCTCTTCGAGACGTCGCTGGGTGACACTTACAGGCAGCTGGTGCGAGCGCGGTTTACCCGCTCCTTCCTCGCGCAGCTCATCGGCCTCCGCATGCACTACCGGGTACGTGGGTGTGTGGGTGTGTGCGCATGTGTGTAGGGAGCGGCAGCGTCGTAATAAGTATGCTGTGCTAAGAACCAGGCGAACTCGAGATCGATTCTCGTTCACGGCCAACACAAGTGACGATTACCTGAACCAGCCCTGGACCTCCCACCGGGCTTCATAAGTCCTCGCTAACAAAACTTTCCCCAACGGTCTACATGGGGGATCTTTGTCTTTGTGGCACAGGCTCTTGCTGTTGTCGCTTCTCTTGGCTGAGGCCCTCTCTACCCATCGCAACACGTGTTTGTGAGTCATTTCAATCGGCTGTAGATAACGGACAAGGATTAGATGTGATCGCATGAGCTGAGTGATGCCTCCTGACACGTGATTCTCCATCCAGATGTTCGTTTTCTTTATTTGTCAGTCTAAGTTTAATTCTTATTGTGTGCTTGTGTGTGTACCTGGTACGGTGTGTAAACATCAACACTGGGGAGACAAAGGCGGCCGGGCGTGGTGTTGGCTACCCACCTCCTCGTGCCCCGTGTCGGCCTTCATAGGTGCTCGCTAACAGCACTTGCCCCAACAGTCTGTTACAGGCTATACGGAGGAGCATTGTCTTTGTGCTTATGTAGCGGTGGCATATTGGTTAGCATACTGCGCTAGGAACCCAGCGACCCAAGTTCAATTCCCGCTCATGGCCAATATCAGAGACGATTACCTGAGGTCTCATTCAGCCTGAACTGAATACCGGTTGCTGTGTGTAAACTTTACCATCGGAGAGACAAAGGTGGCCGGGGATAGTGCTGGCCACCCACCCCCTCGTATGCCGTGCCGGCCTTCATAAGGTGCTATTTAGCTAACAGAACTTGCCCCAAAGAGTGTTAAAGGCTATAATGGGGGATCTTTGTTGGTTGTGCATACGTGAGTGCAGTATTTCGAAACGGACGACCCCGAATTCTACAAGACGAAGGTGAGCTTCGTGCTCAACAACGACGTGTCGGAGATGGATCTCACCCTCTCGGAGGAGGTGTATGATGAGCAGGGCAAGTGTGTGCAGGTGTGAGCACGCGGGCACGGGCATGGGCACGTGCACATGGGCGTGTGGGGCTCGCACACACTCACTCCCCCCAACAGCGTACAGGGCGTGTTGGGGGGGGGGGAGCGCTGTTAGCAAGCGGCTATGGCCACATTGCACGCACACATACGCGCATGTACACGGTAAATAAGTATTAACGTTTTTTTATCACGCACCCTGATGAGTCCGGTCCATGACGAATGCGCCACTCTTGTCACACATGCACAGGGACATTGAAGTGTTCAGATGAGGATTGTGTACGTGGGGCAAACTTATAGGCTTGAGAGCAGATGAGAGTGGGATTCCTCAACAATGCACTGCGACTGCGTCTCAGGATGATGCACAGAAACCGTGAGCAGATTACATTTATTGAGGCGTCGTATCCAGAGGAGAAAAAAAACAAGTCTTTAGCCGAACGAGGCTGGTCTGTCGCCAATTTACAATCAGTGACACCATATATCCTTACCAGTTTGCCTAATGTGGGCAGTCAATCTAGTAGGCAAACTAGGTGCGACACAGGCTCCGCCTTGATGGTAGGCCGAGCAGTCCTGGCGTCAGCTGAGTGGGGTGGTCAAGGTCGGGGTCAATTTACAATCAGTGACACCATATATCCTTACCAGTTTGCCTAATGTGGGCAGTCAATCTAGTAGGCAAACTAGGTGCGACACAGGCTCCGCCTTGATGGTAGGCCGAGCAGTCCTGGCGTCAGCTGAGTGGGGTGGTCAAGGTCGGGGTCGATTGATTGTTGAGATCGCGCGGGGTGATGCCGACATCGCTGACAGAACGACCTTGCCCAATGTCGCACGGCTCTATTCTCTGGAACGTTACTCTCCTCTGTTAACGATTGAAACGCCACCGTACAGTCTGTTCTCCTATAACGCGGTAGTTGCGTTCCTGAAGAACATCACGGTATGGAAAAATTGCGTTATAAATAATTTAGGGTAAAGCACAGTCCGTGATAACACGAGAGATGCTGAGGCAGGCTGAACACATTGAGGCATGTGGGTAGCATCTAGAAGCATCCAGCAGCATCCGCGCCTTGTGCGACGCTACGCCGAGGGAGCCATACAACCGCTTATTCTTACTCGCGTGACGTAAAATTTTGATTTAAAGCTTTCGTGACTGCAGTAATTCATATTCTTAGCTCTTTCGGTAAAGTCACGTTGAAGGGAAACAATAAAATAATATTGTTTTATATATATTTTATTCTTTTATTGTTTCCCTTCAACGTGATTTTACCGAAAGAGCTAAGAATATCGCGTGACGTAGTTCCGTTCACTTAATCGCGTTATATCCAATTGGCATACGCTTAAAAAAACGTGTTCCCTAATACATTAAAACCTTGGACTGCGAGTAACTTGATCTGCGAGTGTTTCGCAAGACGAGCACATTTTTAAAATAAATATTAATTTGATAAACGAGCGAGAGGGTCTTGCAATACGAGCAGTACGTATAGACGCTTTGTCTGCCGAGCGTCACGTGATCACAACTGATATACGATATGCTTTGATATACGAGTCCTTTGAATTACAAACACGTCTCCGGAACGAATTATGCTCGCAGTCCAAGGTTTTACACTCTGCATTCATCGCGTCATATCCAATCTGCGTTCTTAAACCAACACGCGTTATTGAACGGACTGTGCTTCAAAGTTTTGACTCAAGGGACCATAGCGAAGGGTGGAACCCCGCAAGCGCGCGTCTTTTGAGTTTTGCCGCGTGCTTCTCGGCCGACGGATTTTGCCCGGCACAGTTGGTGGACCTGGTGCCGGGAGGGTCGGGGATCGGCGTCACCAACGCCAACAAGCTGGCGTATCTCAACGTACTGGCGCAGTACCGGCTCGCCACGCAGGTCCGCACAGAGGTGGAGCACTTTCTCAAAGGTGGGGCTCCCTCTTCCTTCCCTTCACTCGTTCTTTCGGCGCTGTCATCGTCGTGAGAGGCGCTCACGTGACGTACATCCACAATTCCAATGCGTTGTTGTTATGAGGAAATTTCACTCTCATCCGCTCTCAAGCCGCTACGTCTGCCCCATGTACACATCCTCATCAGTGTCTCATCATGTGTAATTAATACGCTGCTGGATGAAGGCCTCCCCCGGCCGTCGACATCCGTAATCACCTGCACACGAGCCGATTGCATCACTCCGTCTCCTCGGTTGACGTTTCCCCCCGGACGCGTCAAGCAATTGGCCCACATCAGGCCAGTGGCAGTGGATGGGTGGCACGCAGCGCTGTACGTGTGCATATAGCACGATGTACATTTATGACGTGACGAATGTATTTGTGTGTGTGTGTGTGTCCTCAAGGGTGCTGAAATTGTTTGAAGGTAGTTCTTTAACATCGTTTTCCAAACACCATTCTCTGGCATCCTGCGACATTGCTGCTCGCGATGAGTGTTCCGCGTGGAGATTTCTCCATGTCATCCTATGATGGGGATCACAGCACAATCTTACGATCATTTACAATTAAAAACAAAAGCCATTGCTGACTGGTGTAGCCTTATGGTGTGTGACTGTGTTTTGCACTCTGCCCTGGAACACTCTCCTCCCCATCTCCCTTTTTTTCTGTGCTGTCAATCAAAGGACTGAATGAGATGGTTCCAGAAAACCTCTTGGCCATCTTTGATGAAAACGAACTGGAGGTGAGAGAACCGTGGGGTGGGTGTGGGGATGGCTGGGGGGGGGTTGGTGGTGGGGGGGGGGTCACGTTGACGCGCCGGGCACGCATCTCCGCAACGAGGAAAACACCCGAGTGTCGCCCTCGCTTTGCCCGCTGTTCGCGTTTTGAACTTCACTAGCATGCTTTGTTTTGCAATCTCTGTGCACGAACAAAACCTCTGTCGTGTGCAGGACACTGTGTGCCCGCCCGCATTATTTTCAGGACGCGCTGTGAAGCTATATTGTTCTGTATTGCGATCCCTCTCTACAACTTCAGAATCAGAATATGTATTTATTCTGGAGGAATCCGATGAGCCACAGAGCTCTTTTTCACAGATTTCCAGTCATGACAACAACAAACGATTCAACCGCCTCTCTCTCCCCCCCCCCCCCGCCCGCCCCTGGGCCTCTCCCCAGATGCTCATGTGCGGCACGGAGGACATCAGCGTTGACGACTTCAAAGCCAACGCCGTGCTTGTCGGAGCCTCCTGGCATTTCCGCAAGAAGGTACTTACGTGGGGTTGTGGATTCCTCCAGTATCAATATTTATTTATACTGGAGGAATCCGATGAGCTATAAAGCTCTTTTTTTCCCCGGAGGTTCAGTTGGGGCACGGGTTCAGAACAAACAAACAGTACAACAACACGATAGGAGTGCAAAGTACAGGAAAGGCAAACAAATCGGCTAAAAACATACAAATAAAACTAAACCATCCTCATCCTACCAGACAAAGCCCACTTAGGTATTAACTTATTTTTCAGAAGTGACCTGGCCACAAATGATAGCGCAACAAAGTGATCTATCACGTGGTAATTTATAGCAGCAAACTCATAATTGCTTTTGGGCTATGTACCGAGTGGACCAAAGGAAGACCCCAAGACTGGTGTGGATAGTTACCGCTTACCCGTCGATGTTGGTCAAGGCCAAGGCTTAAACGCAGGTAACTTGGTTTGTATCGCGGCTGCTTTCACCGATGTGCGACGCAGAGACACGCAAACGCTCACGTGGGCCGATTTTCATGCACGTACATACATGTTGCTGTACATACATGTTGCGTGCTGGGCACAATGTGTGCTGTGCCGACCTCACTGCCAAGACCAAACATGGGATGCTGTTTTTTTTTGTCTTTGCCAGTGATGTAATAACATTAATCGATTGACAATCCTTCACAGGAGTGGGAGGTCACCTTCTGCCTTGTATCTCATCCAGTCTTGAAACTCGGCGAGGATTTTGCGGATAAATATTGGGCAGCTCGTTTTTTTTATTAACTTTTTTATTCATTGAATCCCTGTGGATGATGAGCCAAGTTTGAACGCAGCTGGGTTTCTGGCATTTCCATTTGTTTAGCAAAGCCCATGAGGGAGAGTGGCCTGGCACACTCGGTTTTGTGGGTTTGATCCAGAGTGTGATCGTAACCATAACATCTTTCTTCAGCTTCGTTTTGTCTACGTGACAGTGTGAAGAAAGACTAAAGTTGTTTGCGTGTGAACGTAACCGACAGGTTGCCTGTCCAGAGACAACTCGCGTACATGAAAGGATGCATCACAGTCATGAATCCTTCTTGCTGTACAGCCATCTGCTGGCCACCTCCTAATCCAGTAGGCTGGGAGTTTTATGCTGGCAATGGCTGCATCTCGTCATGATCCACTAACCCCACCTCCCAAGTTTCCGTATAACTGCCATGGCCCTAAAAATAATCTCCCCAGTGACCATATTTATTTTTTAAATACTCTAAATCTGCTCTCAATATGTGTGGATCTATTAGAGGCCTTCATTTTTTCAACTCATCCCATCAATTTTATGTTTGCAAACATCTGCAAAACGCTCAAATAAGCCTCGTAGAGCCGCGGGGAGCCTCACGCAATCGCTGGATAGCAATGAATAAATATCACGTGATCTTTCCGCTCGTTTCACTCGTAACAATTCTCAGGGACATCTGAATCTGATGACATAGTTTGGTGGATAGACCTCACATCTGCATCTCTTGCCTAAGGCCCTCTCTGCCCATCGCAACATGTGTTTGTAATTTCCATCGGGATAAAAGACAACGCTTAGATGTGGTCACGTGAGCTCAGTGATACACATGAAGTCAAACCGTTCTGTGTCGATCTTTTTATCCATCTGCCTTCGTCATTTTTGTCCAACTGCTGTTTATTTGGCTTGCTCGAGTATCATTCTCGTGTGCTTATGCGTACGTGTGTGCGTACATGTGTGCACTCGTGTGTGCACTCGTGTGTGCAATGGGGCAGCGTGGAGAGAGTGGAGAGTTTCCCATACCTGGGCAGTGTGCTTATGACCGGCTCCAGTTTAACAGCAGAGGTCTCACTCCGAATCAGTCGAGCGGCATTATCTCTTCATCGGTTGCATAACACTGTGTGGAAGCTACCTGGTCTGTCGCTCCGCACTGAGCTTCAGGTCTTCTCGGCCACGGTCATGTGGTGCTGGGAGATGACGTTCTGCCTGCGAGGATGGGCTTTGTTTGCTCATGCTCATGATTCAGTCACTGGTGACCAAGCTAACTCGAGACTATTGTCCCACTGGTTTAACGTGGCTGGAACCCGGATTCCAACTCAGTTGTGTCAGATTGGTGCTCTGGTCGCCATTATGTGGGGGCGGTGACGCGGACCAGCGGTAGCGCGTTCGCTTGTTGCAGAGGTTCGTGGTTTGACTCCTTTGGCCGCCCCGGTTAATACTGCGGCGTGTGTACCAACCGTAACAATATTACGCATCGTCCGCTTCACTCACAGCGGATGTGGTGCTGGCCGCCCCACCCCCTCGCGTGCCACCGTCATGCCGGGATTCAAAAGTTCTCGTCAACTGCACTTGCCCCAACAGTCTGTTAAGGCCCTTCCGGGGGGATCTTTGTCTTGGGTTTGGATTGGCAACCGTCAGCGGTAAAATCACGCTTGCGCAGGGAGCCACACGCTGCCAGCCTGCTCATGGACAATTTCCAACTGTACCGGTCTGCCGAGGCAACAACGGGTGACCTTTGTTGTTGCTCCGGTGCCGCCGCTGGTTCCAGGTGATTTTGTGGTTCTGGGCCGTGGTGTCGAGCTTCACGCAGGAGGAGCTTGCTCGCCTGCTGCAGTTCTCCACGGGGTCGTCCTTGCTGCCCACGGGGGGGTTCGCTGCCCTCTCGCCGCCCTTCCAGATCGTGAGCTCGCCCAAGCACGGAACGCTGCCCACCGCCCACACCTGGTGAGCAAGCCGCTGCCTGTGTGCATGTGCGCGCGAGTGTACACTTGTTTGCATTTAGATTATTTGGTTCCTATAAATTTCCACCTGATAAGTCACCTCGTTGAGCCTATCATTTGTGTCCAGGTCGATTCTGAAGAATAAGCTAATAGCTCAGTGGGCTTTACCTGGTAAAATAAATTTTTGTTTCATTTGTATTTATTTTCTTACCTTTCCCATCCTTTGCACTCCTTTCGTGTTTTTGTACTGTCTGTTGCAACGTTCTCACCCGCCCCTACTGGACATGTGAAAAAGAGCTTCATAGCTCATCGGATTCCTCCAGTATGAATACATATCCTGATTCTGTATACGTTTGTGAGCGTACATAGTGGGGAGCGGTGGCGCAGTGGTCAGCGGCACTGCGCAATGAACCCCGGTGACGTCGCCAATATCGGTGACGAATGCCTTAACTGGTCCTGGGTCACCCCTAGGTCGACAACCTGTCACAAAACTGGAGAGACAAAGGTGGACAAGCGTGGTGCTGGCCACCCACTCTCTCGTGTGCGCCGTATTAGCCTTAATCGGAGCTCGCTAACAACACTTGTGCCGACAGTCTGTTGAAGGCTATACTGTACTGTTGAACTTTATCTTTGTTTGTACATTTCCAGCACTTTGTTAATCCACTGCTGGTTGAGGACCTCTCCAAGGGGTGTGAGTAATAGGGGATTGTTTGATCATACCTCACCACGTTGGTCAATGTAGATTGGTGAAGGTCGGAGCAAAGATGTGGGAGCATTCTTATGCTGGGTAATCCATGTGGTGATATCTCACGAAGATCATAACAAATTCGAGATAAAACTATATTTTACTTCATGTCTAATTCATGGGACCGCCTTTTCCATTACCAAAATATGAGAATAGGTTTTCCCCTTTTTTCTGGCAACAAAACAGGTGTTAAGATGTTAAAACACCAAACTGAAACCTTTTACAAGGAATCATGTTTGCATTCTGACCAAAATACTTGTGGTCAGAATGCAAACAATAAACGTACTCTGATAATATATGCATTGTCTTTGAAACTGATTGGTCTAACACCGTTTTGAGACGAGGCTCAAAATAAAAATGTCTCTGGTGCGGACCAGTTTCAAAGACAATGCATATATTATCAGAGTGTTTTTTTTGCATTCTTACCACAAGCATTGTGGTTAATGCAGACACGATTCCTTGTAAAAGGTTTGAGTTTGGTGTTTTAACATCTTAACACCTGTTTTGTTGCCAGAAAAAAAGTGGAAAACCTATTCTCATATTAATGTCTACTTGTCGAGACAATCTCAATTAACATTAAATTGTTTAACACTCTCCTCTGTCAGATGTGGTGCCATCTTTTCCACATTATTCAATCAGCTGTTGAGAAGAAAATCTTTGTGTAACTGATCCTATCATAGTTTCGGTACCGTACCCGTGTACCACCAGACCATGTAAGTCTGGTGTTAATTATGCAAAAGCTATGGTATCGAGAAATACAAAGTGTTGGTGAGAGATGGCATCAAAAACAATCGCCATCATAACCCCTGAACCATTAATGATTAATTTATCTCTCGTGTGTTTGTGTTGCAATGTCTCTGTTCCCCTGTGTGGCTCTGTGTCCGCCTCTGTATCTCCTCTCTGTGCCTCTCTGTATCTCCTATCCCTCACGTATATCTCTCCATATCTCTCCTCGTTCCTGTGTGCGCGCCTCTCTCGCAGCTTCAATCAGCTCTGCCTGCCCACCTACGACTCTTGTGAAGAGCTGCACAAGATGCTGCGCTACGCCATTACGGAGGGCAGCGAGGGCTTCGGGCTGCTCTGACCAGACCCCCCCCCCTACTCTGCCCTGCCCTGTGCTAGCCTTCCCTACTGACCTCGTCGAGCCACTGCCCAATCGCATCTCTGCCTCAACCTTCAACCGATCCAGCCCTGGGCCTGTCATAACGAATGGCAGCGTTGCTCTGCAAGTTTTGCTCCGCACGGCCGAAAAGGTTGGCCGGCGTGCGCGATGGCGTGGCCACTCGCCGGGAAAGCAACGGCTGCCACCCGCGAACTCTGTGGCGTCCTGCTTCGTCTTCCGCAGCTGCTCTCCGACATCCGCAGCTTGGGGCTTGTGTGGCGCACGTAGCACTCAGCACTACCTCGCCTCCCTTCCTCATGCCGCCGCCGGCCAACTGGGATTGTGTTCAGTCGCGATGAGGAATTTCGCAACATATATGCAAGCGTGGTGCGGGTGTCTTGTCAGACGCGTGGCAATTGGCAAACAAAATGGCCATCGTTCGAGGCACACTCTTAGAAACGACCGAAGACATTTGCGTGCAGCGCTCGTCTCCCCGTCGGTATAAGCGGTCGCCGTCAATTTTTTTTATCATTGCCTGTGCGACGTCTTCCTTCATGCTCCTCCACCAAATTCGACGACTCTCGCGGAATGAACTCAAGTTTGCTTACAATGAACGGATGGACGAGCGAACAGCGTCTCTCTCCCGCGCTGCCCGTCTTTTACTCGGCGCGTGCGATCACGTCATTCGTGGGGGGGGGGGGGGGGGGGGGGGGGGGGGTGGTGCTCCGCATGCAGCCGTTGCATGCCGTGCATGCGGGTTCGATTTGTACGTGGGGAGGACAACACGTTTTGATCAAGACGCTTCGAGGGAATTTGCGCGAAATTTTATCACCAATTATATCTCGGTCGCGCTGTCATCTGAGTCGGGTCGCATGGCATAAGCATGTCTTGTGGACCACCGTATTGGCAGTTTAGTGGCGTTTTGATTTGTTGGTGAGCTAAGATGAGGATGATGAAATCACAGAACTGGTCTCTTAATGAGACACCAGACATTGCTGCAATTTAGCAATGTCAGCGTTTTCCACGTGACCATCCATTTCAATTTCTCATTGTTAGGCTCGGAAAAATGTGTTTTATTTGATTGCTCACAATGCAGTCATTGGTGACCAAGCTGACTCAAGACCATTGTCCGCTGGACTTGAGAATCTGGTTTAACGTGCCTGGAACCCGGATTCCAGCTCAGCTGTGTTAGGTTGTGGGGGCGGTGACGCTGCCCAGTGGGTAGCGTGTTTGATCGCTTGTTGCAGAGGTTTGCGGTTCGACTCAGTTAGCTGTCCTGGTTAATACTGCGGCTTGTGTGCTATCCGTAACAATACCACGCGCCGTCTGCTTCACTCACAGCGGACGTTAAAAGATCCCGGTACGTCGTTTGCAAGAGTAGTAGCGCATTGTGTGGCCGGCGTCGTGGTTCACGAAATTTCCACATTTGAAAATTATCCGCAAATTACTTGATGGGGAATATCGTTGTCATCGGCATCACAGTCTTGGGAGACCATACATTTCTTGTGCCTTGGAGGCGAGGTCTTAGCGCAACATCTGCTGTGGCTGTGAAGTCCAATCCGTGAGAGGCAGGCTCGGTCGCAGTTCTGAAAGTTGTAGGCCAGCCCGGATGTTGTGGTGGTGTCCTGCTGTTCTTTCCTCTTTGCTCTTTGCTTCTCGTTGGTGAGCCAGAGTTGTTTAGTTTATCAGCAGCCTGCTGCAAAGTGCCTGTTGCCAGCGACGACGGCCCTGGGCAGCATCTCCCCAAGTGTTGGCGCTGATGGTGAAGGGCTTGAGGCCGTACTTGCAGACATCTTTGTAGCGTAGTTGTGGGCGGCCAATTTGCCTCTTTCCGGAGGACAATTCTGCATAGAGAATGTCCTTCGGGATTCGTCCATAATCCATCTGACGGACCTGGCCCCATCCAGCAGAGACGTCGCTGCCTCAGGAGAGAGTACATACTGGGTAGCTGTGCTCTCTCCAGGACTGCTGAATGCGTGATCCTGTCCTTCCAGGTGATGCCTAATATTCGCTCAGACAGCGCAGATGGAAGTTGTTTGGCCTCCGCTCTTGATGTGAGTATGTTGTCCAGGTTTCACTGCCATATAGGAGTGTGCTGGTGACGCAGGCTCTGTACACTTGTACCTTTGTGTGGACTGTGAGTTTTTGGTAATTCAATACCCTAGATGTCAGTTTTCCAAAGGTTGAGGCTGCTTTTCCGGTGCAGCTGCTGAGTTCGGCATCGAGTGACAGGTTCTCGGTGATAGTGGACCCAAGGTAAGTGAAAGTGCTGACAGCTGCCAGTGTGTCGTTGTTGATGGAGGGGTCTTGTGCAGTACCCTGTACCACTGTTTTGGTTTCTTCACGCTGATGGGCAGGTTGAAGTCCTGGCATGCTTGGGTGAAACGGTCCATTGGGGTTTGTATTTGCTCCTGGGAGTGTGCCGATACTGCTGCGTCATCTGCAAACAGCGTGTCCCAAATGAGGAGTGGTCGCACCTTTGTTTTTGCTTTTAACCGAGCGGGTTGAATCGTTTCCCGTCTGTTGTGTTTAGGTAGATTCCCTTAGTGGATGTCCGAAAGGCTTGCCGATCGAGGAGGGAAAATAACATCCCAAACAGGGTGGGTGCCAGCACATGTACTTGCTTAACTCCGCCACAGATTTTCAAAGGGTCTGAAGTAGACCCATCAAACTCCGATGGTGCCTTGCATCTTGTTGTGAAAGTACTGCAGAATGCCGAAGAGTCTTGGGGGGGCAACCTATCCGTTCGACCATCTTCAAGAAGCTGCTCCTGCTCACAAGGTCGAAAGCTTTTTTGAGGTCAATGAAGGCCGTGTAGAGTGGTTTCCTCTGCTCTCTGCACTTCTCCTGGAGTTGTCTCAGAGAGAAGGTCATGTCCATGGTGGACCTTCCTGCTCTGAAACCTGGCTGTGACACTGGGTAAAGCTTCTCTGCGAGGACCTGAAGTCTATTTAGTGCAACTGCTAGCAAAGAGCTTACCAGTGGCAATACTGGCATCTCTCATGTCCTGTGGGACAGTACCATCCCCTCCATCACAGACGGAGGAGCTCGTGGAATTGGTGAAGAGCAGGCTTCCCAAATTTGAGGACTTCAGCTGTGATCCCATCACTGCCCGGTTCTTTTCCGCTGGCTAAGCTGACGATTGCCTTGCTGAGTTCCTTAGTTGTTCGTTCTGTGTCGAGCTCCTCCATGGTGGGTTGATGCTTAACATGGCCGAGTGCTGCGTCGGACACAGTATTTTTGCTGGCATAGAGCTCAGACTAGTGCTCTCCCCAGCGGGCCAGTTGTTTTGAGCGGTCAGAGATTGTTTCTCCCGTGGCTGATTTTAGTGAAGATGTGTGAGGTGATGGTCCGAGTGCCTTTTTGATGCCGTCGTACATGCCTCTGTAATGTTGCCTGTGTCAGCTGATGTTTGGATGTCTTTGCAGAGCTGCAGCTAGTAATCGTTGGCACAGCCTCTTGAAGCCTTGCTGGAGTTTCTTCCTCACCGCTCTGAGAGCATTCAGGGTCTTGTCATTTCGGGTACATTTATAATTGGTGAGGGCAATGAGCTTTTCTTCCAGGGTGGGAGTCAGTTCCATTGAATTGGCTTCAAAGCAGTCGTTTTGACTTTCTCAGCTTTTTGCCAAAAGCTGTCAAGGCCGTGCTGTCCCATTTCTGCTGGGCATAGTGAGATTGGGGTACGTGGGAAAGTGATTCCTCTAGGGCTAAGGAAGGCTGCAGCTTTTGTTGGGTCAGCTGTTTTGCTGCTGTCGATGCGCGGGGGGCTCCTTCATCTTTGGCTCTGTGTATCATTTTTTTCTGTAGCTTGACTCTCCAGCACACGAGGGAGTGGTGTCACAGTCTACAATGTGGAAACTGCGGGTTTGGAGAATGCCTGGAAGATCGGCTCGTTGTGTTAGGATCAGTTCCAGCTGGTGCCAGTGACCTGACCGTGGATGTCTCCAGGAGACCTTGTTGTGGGGTTTGGTCTGGAGTTTGTGATGTATAAGTTGTGGCATGTGCAGAACTTGGGAGTCGCTGGCCATTCTCATCCATCTTACCAATGCCATGGTGTCCCAAAAAATATGGCTCGGAGTCATGGTCTGCACCAACTCTAGCATTGAAGTCACCAAGCAGGTAAAGCTGTTATGTTTGTGTTGGAGCATACATGCTCACCAGGTGGACGGGCCCCATGGTCGTGTTCAGCAGAGGGCTAATATTCTATCTGAGCCACCTGTGGGTGGTAGTATTGCTTCCAGCAGGGTGTTCCTGACTGCAAAATCCACTCCATATTCCCTGGTTTCCTTGGGGGGCTTACCCTGCCAAAAAAAGGTGTAGTCCTTTTCCCTCCGGGAGCCTGATGAGTGGAGTTGGGTTTCCTGTAGGGTGCAAATGTCAATTTGTTATTTCTGGTGTTCGTTATTTATGACTGCAGTCTTGCAGGCATCGCTTAGTTCTAGTAGGTTGTCGGTTAGTACAGTTGTCATAGTCCCGACATTCCAGCATCCCAGAGCAAATGCTGGTGTCTTCACTTTCGCTGCACAGTGAGGTTGGAGTTTCCTCTCCAGGGCACAGAAAGCCTGGGCAAGGTGTATGGAGGCCCTGTGTTGCCCAGGCAACATGGCTCTCCTCTCAGCCTCCCTGGCGTAATCCAAAGGAAGGGTGAATTGATACATTTGGCATCAGATTGACCGTAGGAGTTGCCAGAACAATGTTCCATACATTGAACTGGCTGACGGAGTCCAAGCCGACGTTTCTGTCAGGGTTTTCTCCCTTAGCCTCTTCTGTTCCAGAGGATATCCACAAGGCAGCAGGGGGGTGCTATTTAACCCATTAGTGGCAGCTGTAGTAGTAGTAGCTGCAGTAGCTGTAGTTGTAGCAGTTGTAGTAGTCGCTGTAGGTGTAGTCGTAGCTGTAGCAGCTGTAGTCATAGCTGTAGTAGCTATAGTCATAGCTGTAGTAGTTATAGTCGTAGCTGTAGTAGTGTCTGTAGTAGTGGTAAGCAGCTGCTAGGTCTCATATGCAGGGCGCTGCTGGCGCTTGGTGGTGGTACTGCTGCTGCTGCTGCTCTCGGGTCCATGCTCGGCTTCTTCATCTTGCTCGTTTGGCTTGAGAGAAGCGACATGGGAGGGGGGAGACCTCCCCAAGGCCTCACAGCCTCGATCTTGCTTCGCGCCTCGCCCCCATGGGGTCTGGGGGGGTGGCGGCGGCGGCCGGGCCCGGCGCCACTTCGGGGCAGGCCCGGGGTAGGCCCCGGTCAACAGTCCGAGCTTCGCTTTACACAGCCAGCTTCCATGCTCTCTCACCCAATGGGGAATAATACCCAGCAGCAAACGTCACCTCCCCCACGACGAAAATGTGGTAGGAGCCTCCCGAAGACGAGTCGTGAGACTCGGTGAGGCTTTCCTGGAGTAAATGAGTGTAACAATTATAAATAATTACGAGTCCCTGAGCCAGCACTTGACTTTTAGACTTGTTTTAAATGTGTACTCGCATGTTTTACTCGCATAGTAATGGTCCCAGTTCTCATTTTGAATGCATCTCAGTGGGCATTCACCAGCTTTAAGTGAAGTTTCCAAAACGATGACACCTATCATAGACTGTAGTAGAATAAGCACATTGACATCAGGTAATTTCCGTGTTAATAACTAAGCCGATACATATCAACCTTTATGTACTTCTAAGTGTTGCGTGCTCAAAACACCTGAAACCTCCCTCTCTCGCCC